ATAAAAACTTAATTAAGTGAATTTATCAAACATGACATTACAGAACCATGAAACACAGGAAACAAAAATAACAATAAAGCATGGAGCATAGAGAGGAGGGTGCAGAGCTGTGTTGCTTCTGCCTATGACTGAGAGCCATATTGCTAAGCGTAGCTAAGCTAGTGGAGCTTTGGAGAGAAAAACCATTGAAAATGATGCAGAAAACGTGTTTTTTTTTTTTGCTTTTTTTTTTTTTTGGGGGGGGGATTAGATAATCACAATGGCAAATATTAAAAAATGAATAACTTAACAAAATTAAAATGATCAAAGCAAAACCTAAAATTGATAAAATGATGGAAAATATGAAAATTATTTTTAAAAAAAACATTTAAGAAAACTTGCCATAAAAAAACAAAACAAATAAGGATACTAGCATTTAAAAAATTCAATAAAAACAAAGAGAGAGGAAACTTATCAAAAATGACATGATATAATAGTGAAAAACAAAAATGACATGAAAATAAAGGAAACTTATCAAAACAAAATACAAATAAGGAAAATAAAAAAGATCAAAAAATAAAAAAGGAAACTTAGCACAATACTAAGTAATAAAAAAAATTAACAAAAAAAATTACAATTGCAAATTAAAAAAAATGAAAATTAAAAAAAATTAAAAGGATTAAAACAAAACTTAAAATGCTAATATGGTGGAAAATACAATTCAAAAATCATTTAACAAAACTTGCCATTAAAAAACAATACAATTAGGGAAAATAGCATTTAAAAAACAGTAAAAAAGGAAAGGAAACTTATCAAAATAACATTATATAATAGTGAAAAACAAAAAATGACATGAAAATAGAAAAGGAAACTTAGCACAAATAACAGTATATTAGTGAAATACAAAAAATGACTTTAGAAAAAAGGAAACTTATCAAAACAAAATACAATTAAGGAAAATAAAAAAGATCAAAAAAATAAAATGAAGGAAACTTAGCACAAGACTTAGCAATACAATTAATACAAATAGAAAATCACAATTACAAATTAAAAAAACAGCACAATTAGGGGAAATAGCATTTTTAAAAAAAACAATAAAAAAAGAAAGGAAACTTATCAAAAATGACATGATATAATAATAATAATAATATCTTACATTTATATAGCGCCTTTCAGGATACCCAAGGCGCTTAACAACACACTACAAAAAAAAAAAACTAAATACCAAAAGCCTGGATAAACAAGTGTCGCTTCAGAGCAGACTTGAAAGAGTCAAGAGTCTGTGCTTGGCGAATCTCAGAGGGGAGAGAGTTCCAGAGAGGAGGGGCGGCCACACTGAAGGCTCTGTCACCGAGGGATCGCCTTTTCCCATAGCGGACAGTGAGGAGCCCAAGGTCCGCAGACCGCAGAGTACGCGCCGGGATGTAGTCCTTGAGGAGGTCAGACAGATAGTATGGGGCTAGGGCATGGAGAGCTTTGTAGGTGAGCAGGAGGAGTTTGTAGATGATGCGATATTTGATGGGAAGCCAGTGGAGGCGTTTGAGGGTGGGGGTGATGTGCTGCCAAGGTTTGGTCCGGGTGAGCACTCTGGCAGCTGAATTTTGAACGTACTGCAGACGGTCCAAGTCTTTTTTAGGAAGTCCGAACAGGACACCGTTGCAGTAGTCTAAGCGGGAGGATACAAAGGCATGGATGAGGGTTTCTGCGACAGAGTCTGAGAGGGACGAGCAGAGTCTGGAGATGGTCTTAAGGTGGAAAAAGGCTGACTTAGTTACGGATTTAATGTGGGTTTGGAATGAAAGGGCAGAGTCCAAGATGACGCCCAGGTTGCGCACCTCGGAGGATGGGGAGATGGAGCAGCTGTCAATATGGAGGAGGAAATCACCCATTCTGCGAAGCAGTGCCTTGGGAGCCATGAGCAAGAGCTCTGTTTTCTTGGCGTTGAGTTGGAGTAGGTTGGTGGTCAGCCAGGTTTTTATTTCTTGTAGGCAGTTGACAATGTGGAGTGGAGGGAGCAGAGTGGTGGGTGTGGTGCTGAGATATATCTGTGTATCATCGGCGTAACAGTGGAAATCAAGGCCGTGCTTACGGATGATCTGGCCAAGCGGGAGCATGTATATGGTGAAGAGGAGTGGACCAAGTACGGAACCCTGTGGGACTCCGTGTGGAACTGGGGCTGGGTGGGACTTGGAACCATGCATGGAGACAAACTGCAGGCGGTTGGACAGATAGGAGTGAAACCAGGAGAGCGCAGATCCAGTGATATTGAGGTGTGTAGAGAGGCGGTTGAGGAGGATGGAGTGAGAGACTGTGTCAAAGGCTGCAGAGAGGTCCAAAAGGATGAGGATGCTGATGTTGCCGGAGTCAGCTGCGATGAGGAGGTCATTGATGATTTTAACCAAGGCGGTCTCAGTGCTGTGGTGCGCTCTGTAGGCAGACTGGAAGGGTTCGGAGAGTTTGTGGTCGGACATGTGCTGCTGGAGCTGCACGGCGACTACTCTTTCCAGGGTCTTGCTGAGGAACGGGAGATTGGAAATCAGCCGGTAGTTGGTAAGGTCGTCGGGGTCCAGACCAGGCTTTTTCAGTATGGGGGTGACAGATGCGGTTTTGAAACTGGTGGGAACCATGCCGGATAGCAGAGAGGAGTTGATGATGTTAGTAATGATGGGAACCAGGGTCGGTAGACAGGCCTTTACCAGCGTTGTAAAAGATTATGCTGTTGCTGATGCTTGCTCATCGAACATCCTATATTGAGTGAACATTAAAACACAGGATCCAGGTTTCAGTTTGACGGTTTATTTGCTCGTCTTCAGTGGATGCTTTTTTATCATAGATGCATCCACTTCAGGGCTTTAAATCAATACATATGCGTTTTAGGGTGACAGGAATATTCAGACTCCCTTTGTTCAGTGCTGCTCTTGTTCAGGATGCAAAAGGGAGAGCAGGCCTGAGGGCTGGCTTTTATGGTGTTGGGGGTGTGGTTTGGCATTGAGTGACAGGGGAGTCAGGTATGGAGATGGTGAGGTGAGAATTTGGGATTTAACAGCCGCCCCTTCAAATAGTATATTTGAATCAATAAATCACAAGTCAGTTCTGGGTGTCGGCTTTAAAAGGTGAAAGGATAACTAGTCGGGCAACAGGGCGGATGAACTTTTGTTGGTTAGATGTCACCTCTGCAGTCCTAATCCTTCCATCATCACTGGGGAAGAGACGAGACACCTTTCCAACATGCCACTGTCCTCTTGGTACTTGGGGATCCATTAAGAGTACCACTGTTCCCTCTGTCAGGCCTGGTGTGTCTTTCTGCCATTTATTTCGCACCTGCCAGCTTGGAAGGTAATGTCTGATGAAGCAGGACCAGAATCGATCGGTTAGGATCTGACTATGCCTCCATTTTCTCTTTCCAAGTAAGTTGGATTCAGCATAGACAGCCTGTGGAAGAGAGGCATCTCGCCGCCCCATTAGGAGAAGGTTTGGTGTGATGGGGTCAGGATCTGCTATATCAGATGAAGCATATCCGGTTGGTTTGGAATTGATTATTCCTTCAGTTTCAACCTGCACTGTGTGCAGTACTTCCTCTGGAACGGTTTGGCTTCCAACAATCTCTCTCAGAGCAGTTGAAGACAACATGATGATTGCCATTATGCTCCACAAGGTGATGAGGGGTATACTTTGATTCTTCTGTCTGAGAGACTTGTTCAGGTTTGAGTTTTTCGCATAACTAGCTTGTTTTAGTTTACTGATTTCATTATTGCATATGTCTGCCAATTCAGGATTGGTTTGGAGTTTGCGTTCAGATCGACGGAGAAGGGGCATAACAGATTCTGCTGGGGCTTTTAGTTCAGGTGCATCCTTTTTTCTTTGTGAAGGGGTTGCATAGCGTTTGGTGCCATCTGTTTCAACTCTCACAGTTTTCTTATCCAGGAGGTCTATGGCGTCTCTATCTTGTTTTGACCTTGTGATTAATTTTTCATTTCTGAAGGGAAGGATATCAGTTTGCCACAGTTGCTCTACATGGTGTTTAAGTTCTGAGTAGGGGTTAACCGCTGATGTTAAAAAGCACTGGGTAGCAGATGATGACTCACCGAGGAAGGTTGGTCCTTGAAGGGCCCATCCCAGGCGTGTTCTCACTGCCGCTGGAGCTCCCTTTGGTCCATATTGGACTCTCTCTACAGATGTGATCAGGAAAGGATTGTCAGATCCGATGAGGATGTGTGGCTGGACTTTGGAGAAGGAGCTTAGTGGGAGACCTTGCAAATAGGGATAGCGTTGCTTGAGTTTATCAACAGGGTAACTTTGCTCAACAAGCATTATCATGTCGGAAGTGAAGGCTCTGTCAATTGAGAATTTTTTCTCAGGGCTTGATGCAGCAGAGATTTTAAGGTTAACAGTTTTCCCGTTCAAAGTTTCTGTTTGCTGCCTCACTGTTCGCAGCTCGAGGTTTTCTGGTTCACCATCCAGCCCAAGGTACTCTGCAGCACCTGGTAGTAGCATTGTACGCTCAGATCCATCATCTAAGATGGCATATGTCTCAAATACTCTATTGTTATGGTGAAGACTTACTTTTACTACTTTTAGCAGCACTTTGGATGTTAGGCTTTGTGGGTTCAGATACAACACTCTGGATGCTGTCTGGGTTTTATTTACATTGTGTAGTACGCCTAGGTGAAGGCCATTACATTTGGGACAGGGTTTTTTTAGAGTGCATTTAGCTGCTTTATGGGTTCTTCCACATTTCCAACATCTATTTTCTTCCTTTAGCCACTTTGACACTTTCTCGGGTCCTAATTCTTTCAAACTTTCACAGTTTGTTAGGTAGTGGGAGGTAGATTGGCAAAATGCACATGGGTACCTTCTTTCAGGCTGTTGTTGGTAACCAGAAGCACTTGGGCGGTGAGTGAACCTCCGGTCCGATCCATGGAGGATGGTAGTAGGAGGCTTGGGTCCGTAACTTGACTCCTTTCTATGAGTTTGAGGTGTGCTGATTTGAAGACTGCTGGCTTGTGCTACCACGGCTTGGCATTCTGCCTCTCCCTCAAGCCATACTGAAAAATCCACTAGATTGTAATGAGAGGTCGGGGAAACTGAGCGGGCATGTCTTGCAAAATTTGAGACTAGGTCTACGGGAAGTTTATTTAATAATCTCTGGACATGGGAGGCACATGCTAATTCTGCTGCACTTTCTGCTGAATTGAGTGATTGCAGCAGCCCTACTAATGACCTAACTTTGACTGCAAAGTTTTGGAATCCTTCGGCATCTCCACGGGCCACTTTGGGGAGGTTGAGTATGGTCTGGATCTCCTTTAAAGCCAGTTGATGTGGTTGACCATATTGTCGTTCCAGAGCTGCCATTGCTGCTGTAAAGGGCTGTGGGTGGTGAGCATAAGACAGGGCAATATGTCTAGCTGAAGGGAGGTGAAGATGATCCAAAAGGATATGGAACTTAAATAATTCAGGTTCTTCTACAGGAAGAAGGTTTTTCAAGGCCATCTTTAACATTAAGAATTCCTGGGGGTCATTTTGGGTGAAATAAGGGAATGATGGACCTTCAACACGCGAAGTGTATCGGATTTGTTGTGCAGAGGCCATAGGTATGGAGTAGCTTGAGTTGAGGGGGGCTCCTAGAGCTTGTGGGGCACCAGTGATTGGCGCTGGCTGGGGTGCAAGATATTGGGTATGAAGCTGCTGCACAGGTTGAGGGAAATGTTGATACTGGTATGGAGCTACAGGACTTGGATGGTGAGCAGATGGCTGAGGATTGGTTGAGACTTGAGGTGGAGGTATAGGCGTTGGATGAATGGTATACAGCTGGAGTGGAGGCCTCTGGGTTGATTGTATTTGGCCATGAGGGCCATAAGATGGCTGTGTAACATTAACACTGAGTGGTATTTGCATAGGCTGTGCTGTTAATGTTAATGTTAAGGGAGGGTTGACTACTGGCCTGGTAAAAGGAGGGTCAGTAGGAGGCAGACTAGCAGTTGTGGGTATGAAAGGCCCAGAATGTGACACTGCAGGGGCAAATCTTTGAGGTTCAGGGTTGGAATAAGCTTGCTGGAATGGCATATTAGTTAGGGAGGCTGATGGAAGTGAACCTGATGGTACTTGGATTGGGGACTCATTTCTTAATTGTGGAACAGGAGCAGGTCTCTTAGGTTCGCCTTGTGCTGCAGAGAGTGTGGGAGCATATGGGAAAAGGGTCTGAACAGACTGAGACATTTTTCCAGGTGGCAATGCAGGTACTGATTCTGTTAGGTTGGGTTCAGACATGGACTTTTCACACTGTGGGGCTGGGACGGAAGTTACTGGTTGATTTGGCGATGATTGAGTTGTTCGGGGGTGACAATCCTCTTCAGAATCTCCTTCTGAGTAGCCATGTTCATACTGTTCGACTCTCTCGTGTAAATCCTTCATCATGCACTTTAATTGTGCCACTTCTTGTCTCAATAAAACAGTCTCTGAGGTTTCTGCAGCAGGTTCTGCACATTGACTAAAATGTTTGGGAGGCTGGCCATAAAGTTCAGTTTGGTAGTCCCGAAGATACCTGGGAGGCATTCTCTCTCTTTGTGGCCTTCCTCCGGCCTGACTGCCATCATGCCAAACTGAATTTGGATCCATTTTCAATGTAGATGTTCTCTCCGGCTCGAAGGACCATGTAAAAGATTATGCTGTTGCTGATGCTTGCTCATCGAACATCCTATATTGAGTGAACATTAAAACACAGGATCCAGGATTCAGTTTGACGGTTTATTTGCTCGTCTTCAGTGGATGCTTTTTTATCATAGATGCATCCACTTCAGGGCTTTAAATCAATACATATGCGTTTTAGGGTGACAGGAATATTCAGACTCCCTTTGTTCAGTGCTGCTCTTGTTCAGGATGCAAAAGGGAGAGCAGGCCTGAGGGCTGGCTTTTATGGTGTTGGGGGTGTGGTTTGGCATTGAGTGACAGGGGAGTCAGGTATGGAGATGGTGAGGTGAGAATTTGGGATTTAACAAGCGTCGTGGGCATAGGGTCCAGGGAGCAACTGGAGGCCTTGGCTTTGGTGACCAGTTCGGTGGTAAGGGATTCATCCACTGGAGTGAAGGAGGTGAATGGGGCACATGTGGCAGAGGGGGCAGTGTCCTGCAGCTGAGGTGTATGCAGACAGGTGGTGGATGTCTGGAGCTGCTGATGGATGGTATCCACCTTGTCCTGGAAGAAGTTCAGGAATCTATGGCAGAGGTCAGAATTACCAGAGGCTGGAATGGGTGGGAGGGGGCTGAGAAGCTTGTTTACTGTGGAAAACAGCTTTCTGGGGTGGTTCTCCTGAGACCCGATAAGGGTGGAGTAGTACTGGGTTATGGATTGTGAGAGAGTGTCCTTGTAGTTTTTTACGTGGTCGTGGAAGGCCAGAAGGTGGACAGTGAGGCCAGATTTTTTGTAGAGCCTCTCCAGCCGTCGGCCAGTGGACTTCATGGCCCAGAGCTCGGGAGTGAACCAGGGAGCCGGACGGTTGAATGAAACTGTCAGTGTTTTGATGGGGGCGAGAGAGTCCAGGCTAAGGGCGAGAGCAGTGTTGTAGGAAGAGACCAGGTCACAATCGGAGGGGTCAGGGGAGATCCCAGCTAGGTGGGCAGCAATCATGGTGGATAGGGCTGGAGGACTCACAGCCTTAATGTTCCGGTAGGTGATGGTGCGTTTTGGCCGCTGCCCAGGCCGGGAGGCAGGGACAGAGAAGGCGATGGCATGATGGTCAGAGATAGCAAGGTCCAGGCACTGCAGGTCGATGGGGGGGGTACCAGTGGAGCACACCAAGTCCAGCGTATGACCCTTGTTGTGGGTGGGGCCACGCACATGTTGACTGAAATTAAACCATTCCAACACTGACATGAACTCGTAGGTGAAAGCACAGCTGGTGGAATCCACGTGCACGTTCATGTCCCCCAGCAAGTACGTGGATGGAGACATGGCACAGACAGGGGTGAGTAGCTCAGATAGTTCTGACAGGAAGGCAGACCAGTCAGAGCTGGTGTTTTTAGGTGGACGGTACACCAACACAAACTGGAGTTGGGAGAAACCAGCCAGTGTGAACACTATACATTCAAAAGAGGTGGCAGTGGTTACTGCCACCTCCTTGGTGAGGATGTCAGCCCGATAAATCACAGCCAGCCCACCGCCACCACCCTTTAAGCGAGGGTTCTGTATATAGGCATAGCCTGGGGGAGTGGCTTTATTCAGTGCCATGAACTCCTGTGGTTTTTGCCATGTCTCAACAATGCAGCAGATGTCAATGTGGCGTTCAGTGATGATGTCATGAATGAGTCCAGGTTTATTGTTAATGGATTGGGCATTCAACAGCATGAATGAAGCTGCTGACATGGGCTGGGTAGGAGGGGCTTGACTGTCAACACAGACCAGTGGGCGGAGGTAACGGGTGCGCACATGGATTTTGTTGTGATGACGTGGTAGAGCAGCTGGCCGGAACACGGACGTTATGGAGGGAATGGCTGAGTCTGAATAAATAAACATGCGTCGGGAGCCCCTATGGACATATCGTGGGCGACGCAAGAGACAGAGGGATTTGATCACCGTGATGGAGTGGGGAATGGAGTGGCTGACGAGTTCGCGGAGCCTCGCGGAGGAGTACTGCAGTCGTGTCCCCATCCTGGTTAGCAGCAGGGAGCTAGCGTCGGCGAGCAGTGGCTAGCGGAGGCTAACGTCGCCGCCACCGTGTGCGGCAGCCCAGAAATCCAACTGTCCACGCGTGGGAGGCGGACAAGTTTGTCACACAGGCAGGTAGACACAGAGGGTGGGCAAACCGATTGGTCACCGTATACCCGGCAGGGAAGCCGGGCAGCATTCAAACGAACAGCTGAGCGGTGACAGATGACAGTAGCGACAGCACATCTGCGGAGGGGGTAAGTCCACAAAACTCCAGAATCCACTCGATGTAATAACGATCCTAACTAAAGGAAAAACGTTAGCTGTGTCCAGTTGTGGGGGGGAACGAAAAGCACTGAAAAGACACTTAAAAGGCGACTTTTGTCACGGTTGAGGAGCGGCGACACAAAACGCCAGCGTCCCCTCAGACCTCAGAATAGTGAAAAACAAAAATGACATGAAAATAAAGGAAACTTATCAAAACAAAATACAAATAAGGAAAATAAAAAAGATCAAAAAATAAAAAAGGGAAACTCAGCACAATACTAAGTAATAAAAAAAATGTAACAAAAAAAATTACAATTGCAAATTAAAAAAATGAAAATTAAAAAAAATTAAAAGGATAAAAACAAAACTTAAAAATGCTAATATGGTGGGAAATACAATTCAAAAATCATTTAACAAAACTTGCCATTAAAAAACAATACAATTAGGGAAAATAGCATTTAAAAAACAGTAAAAAAAGAAAGGAAACTTATCAAAATAACATTATATAATAGTGAAAAACAAAAAATGACATGAAAATAAAAAAAGGAAACTTAGCACAAATAACATAGTATATTAGTGAAATACAAAAAATGACTTTAGAATAAAGGAAACTTATCAAAACAAAATACAATTAAGGAAAATAAAAAAGATCAAAAAAATAAAATGAAGGAAACTTACCTCAAGACTTAGCAATACAATTAATACAAATAGAAAATCACAATTACAAATTAAAAAAACAACACAATTAGGGGAAATAGCATTTTAAAAAAACAATAAAAAAAGAAAGGAAACTTATCAAAAATGACATGAAAATAAAGGAAACTTATGAAAACAAAATACAAATAAGGAAAATAAAAAAGATCAAAAAATAAAAAAGGGAAAATCAGCACAATACTAAGTAATAAAAAAAATGTACAAAAAAAATTACAATTGCAAATTAAAAAAATGAAAATTAAAAAAAATTAAAAGGATTAAAACAAAACTTAAAAATGCTAATGTGGTGGAAAATACAATTCAAAAATCATTTAACAAAACTTGCCATTAAAAAACAATACAATTAGGGAAAATAGCATTTAAAAAACAGTAAAAAAAGAAAGGAAACTTATCAAAATAACATTATATAATAGTGAAAAACAAAAAATGACATGAAAATAAAAAAAGGAAACTTAGCACAAATAACATAGTATATTAGTGAAATACAAAAAATGACTTTAAAATAAAGGAAACTTATCAAAACAAAATACAATTAAGGAAAATAAAAAAGATCAAAAAAATAAAATGAAGGAAACTTAGCACAAGACTTAGCAATACAATTAATACAAATAGAAAATCACAATTACAAATTAAAAAACCAACACAATTAGGGGAAATAGCATTAAAAAAAACAATAAAAAAAGAAAGGAAACTTATCAAAAATGACATGATATAATAGTGAAAAACAAAAATGACATGAAAATAAAGGAAACTTATCAAAACAAAATACAAATAAGGAAAATAAAAAAAATAAAAAAAATAAAATGAAGGAAAATTAGCACAAGACTTAGCAATACAATTAATACAAATAGAAAATCACAATTACAAATTAAAAAAACCAATACAATTAGGGAAAATAGCATTTAAAAAACAGTAAAAAAAAGAAAGGAAACTTATCAAAATAACATTATATAATAGTGAAAAACAAAAAATGACATGAAAATAAAAAAGGAAACTTCGCACAAATAACATAGTATATTAGTGAAATACAAAAAATGACTTTAGAATAAAGGAAACTTATCAAAACAAAATACAATTAAGGAAAATAAAAAAGATAAAAAAAATAAAATGAAGGAAACTTACCTCAAGACTTAGCAATACAATTAATACAAATAGAAAATCACAATTACAAATTTAAAAAACAACACAATTAGGGGAAATAGCATTTTAAAAAAACAATAAAAAAAGAAAGGAAACTTATCAAAAATGACATGAAAATAAAGGAAACTTATGAAAACAAAATACAAATAAGGAAAATAAAAAAGATCAAAAAATAAAAAAGGGAAAATCAGCACAATACTAAGTAATAAAAAAAAATTAACAAAAAAAATTACAATTGCAAATTAAAAAAATGAAAATTAAAAAAAATTAAAAGGATTAAAACAAAACTTAAAAATGCTAATGTGGTGGAAAATACAATTCAAAAATCATTTAACAAAACTTGCCATTAAAAAACAATACAATTAGGGAAAATAGCATTTAAAAAACAGTAAAAAAAGAAAGGAAACTTATCAAAATAACATTATATAATAGTGAAAAACAAAAAATGACATGAAAATAAAAAAAGGAAACTTAGCACAAATAACATAGTATATTAGTGAAATACAAAAAATGACTTTAGAATAAAGGAAACTTATCAAAACAAAATACAATTAAGGAAAATAAAAAAGATAAAAAAAATAAAATGAAGGAAACTTAGCACAAGACTTAGCAATACAATTAATACAAATAGAAAATCACAATTACAAATTAAAAAACCAACACAATTAGGGGAAATAGCATTAAAAAAAACAATAAAAAAAGAAAGGAAACTTATCAAAAATGACATGATATAATAGTGAAAAACAAAAATGACATGAAAATAAAGGAAACTTATCAAAACAAAATACAAATAAGGAAAATAAAAAAAATAAAAAAAATAAAATGAAGGAAAATTAGCACAAGACTTAGCAATACAATTAATACAAATAGAAAATCACAATTACAAATTAAAAAAACCAATACAATTAGGGAAAATAGCATTTAAAAAACAGTAAAAAAAGAAAGGAAACTTATCAAAATAACATTATATAATAGTGAAAAACAAAAAATGACATGAAAATAAAAAAAGGAAACTTCGCACAAATAACATAGTATATTAGTGAAATACAAAAAATGACTTTAGAATAAAGGAAACTTATCAAAACAAAATACAATTAAGGAAAATAAAAAAGATAAAAAAAATAAAATGAAGGAAACTTAGCACAAGACTTAGCAATACAATTAATACAAATAGAAAATCACAATTACAAATTAAAAAACCAACACAATTAGGGGAAATAGCATTAAAAAAAACAATAAAAAAAGAAAGGAAACTTATCAAAAATGACATGATATAATAGTGAAAAACAAAAATGACATGAAAATAAAGGAAACTTATCAAAACAAAATACAAATAAGGAAAATAAAAAAGATCAAAAAATAAAAAAGGAAACTTAGCACAATACTAAGTAATAAAAAAAAATTAACAAAAAAAATTACAATTGCAAATTAAAAAAATGAAAATTAAAAAAAATTAAAAGGATTAAAACAAAACTTAAAAATGCTAATGTGGTGGAAAATACAATTCAAAAATCATTTAACAAAACTTGCCATTAAAAAACAATACAATTAGGGAAAATAGCATTTAAAAAACAGTAAAAAAAGAAAGGAAACTTATCAAAATAACATTATATAATAGTGAAAAACAAAAAATGACATGAAAATAAAAAAAGGAAACTTAGCACAAATAACATAGTATATTAGTGAAATACAAAAAATGACTTTAAAATAAAGGAAACTTATCAAAACAAAATACAATTAAGGAAAATAAAAAAGATCAAAAAAATAAAATGAAGGAAACTTACCTCAAGACTTAGCAATACAATTAATACAAATAGAAAATCACAATTACAAATTAAAAAAACAACACAATTAGGGGAAATAGCATTAAAAAAAAACAATAAAAAAAGAAAGGAAACTTATCAAAAATGACATGATATAATAGTGAAAAACAAAAATGACATGAAAATAAAGGAAACTTATGAAAACAAAATACAAATAAGGAAAATAAAAAAGATCAAAAAATAAAAAAGGGAAAATCAGCACAATACTAAGTAATAAAAAAAATTTAACAAAAAAAATTACAATTGCAAATTAAAAAAATGAAAATTAAAAAAAATTAAAAGGATTAAAACAAAACTTAAAAATGCTAATGTGGTGGAAAATACAATTCAAAAATCATTTAACAAAACTTGCCATTAAAAAACAATACAATTAGGGAAAATAGCATTTAAAAAACAGTAAAAAAAGAAAGGAAACTTATCAAAATAACATTATATAATAGTGAAAAACAAAAAATGACATGAAAATAAAAAAAGGAAACTTAGCACAAATAACATAGTATATTAGTGAAATACAAAAAATGACTTTAGAATAAAGGAAACTTATCAAAACAAAATACAATTAAGGAAAATAAAAAAGATCAAAAAAATAAAATGAAGGAAACTTACCTCAAGACTTAGCAATACAATTAATACAAATAGAAAATCACAATTACAAATTAAAAAAACAACACAATTAGGGGAAATAGCATTTTAAAAAAACAATAAAAAAAGAAAGGAAACTTATCAAAAATGACATGAAAATAAAGGAAACTTATGAAAACAAAATACAAATAAGGAAAATAAAAAAGATCAAAAAATAAAAAAGGAAACTTAGCACAATACTAAGTAATAAAAAAAATGTACAAAAAAAATTACAATTGCAAATTAAAAAAATGAAAATTAAAAAAAATTAAAAGGATTAAAACAAAACTTAAAAATGCTAATGTGGTGGAAAATACAATTCAAAAATCATTTAACAAAACTTGCCATTAAAAAACAATACAATTAGGGAAAATAGCATTTAAAAAACAGTAAAAAAAGAAAGGAAACTTATCAAAATAACATTATATAATAGTGAAAAACAAAAAATGACATGAAAATAAAAAAAGGAAACTTAGCACAAATAACATAGTATATTAGTGAAATACAAAAAATGACTTTAGAATAAAGGAAACTTATCAAAACAAAATACAATTAAGGAAAATAAAAAAGATCAAAAAAATAAAATGAAGGAAACTTAGCACAAGACTTAGCAATACAATTAATACAAATAGAAAATCACAATTACAAATTAAAAAACCAACACAATTAGGGGAAATAGCATTAAAAAAAACAATAAAAAAAGAAAGGAAACTTATCAAAAATGACATGATATAATAGTGAAAAACAAAAATGACATGAAAATAAAGGAAACTTATCAAAACAAAATACAAATAAGGAAAATAAAAAAGATCAAAAAATAAAAAAGGAAACTTAGCACAATACTAAGTAATAAAAAAAATTAACAAAAAAAATTACAATTGCAAATTAAAAAAATGAAAATTAAAAAAAATTAAAAGGATTAAAACAAAACTTAAAAATGCTAATATGGTGGAAAATACAATTCAAAAATCATTTAACAAAACTTGCCATTAAAAAACAATACAATTAGGGAAAATAGCATTTAAAAAACAGTAAAAAAAGAAAGGAAACTTATCAAAATAACATTATATAATAGTGAAAAACAAAAAATGACATGAAAATAAAAAAAGGAAACTTAGCACAAATAACATAGTATATTAGTGAAATACAAAAAATGACTTTAGAATAAAGGAAACTTATCAAAACAAAATACAATTAAGGAAAATAAAAAAGATCAAAAAAATAAAATGAAGGAAACTTACCTCAAGACTTAGCAATACAATTAATACAAATAGAAAATCACAATTACAAATTAAAAAAACAACACAATTAGGGGAAATAGCATTTAAAAAAAAAACAATAAAAAAAGAAAGGAAACTTATCAAAAATGACATGAAAATAAAGGAAACTTATGAAAACAAAATACAAATAAGGAAAATAAAAAAGATCAAAAAATAAAAAAGGGAAAATCAGCACAATACTAAGTGATAAAAAAAAATTAACAAAAAAAATTACAATTGCAAATTAAAAAAATGAAAATAAAAAAAAATTAAAAGGATTAAAACAAAACTTAAAAATGCTAATATGGTGGAAAATACAATTCAAAAATCATTTAACAAAACTTGCCATTAAAAAACAATACAATTAGGGAAAATAGCATTTAAAAAACAGTAAAAAAAGAAAGGAAACTTATCAAAATAACATTATATAATAGTGAAAAACAAAAAATGACATGAAAATAAAAAAGGAAACTTAGCACAAATAACATAGTATATTAGTGAAATACAAAAAATGACTTTAGAATAAAGGAAACTTATCAAAACAAAATACAATTAAGGAAAATAAAAAAGATCAAAAAAATAAAATGAAGGAAACTTACCTCAAGACTTAGCAATACAATTAATACAAATAGAAAATCACAATTACAAATTTAAAAAACAACACAATTAGGGGAAATAGCATTTTAAAAAAACAATAAAAAAAGAAAGGAAACTTATCAAAAATGACATGAAAATAAAGGAAACTTATGAAAACAAAATACAAATAAGGAAAATAAAAAAGATCAAAAAAAAAAAAAAGGGAAAATCAGCACAATACTAAGTAATAAAAAAAAATTTAACAAAAAAAATTACAATTGCAAATTAAAAAAATGAAAATTAAAAAAAATTAAAAGGATTAAAACAAAACTTAAAAATGCTAATATGGTGGAAAATACAATTCAAAAATCATTTAACAAAACTTGCCATTAAAAAACAATACAATTAGGGAAAATAGCATTTAAAAAACAGTAAAAAAAGAAAGGAAACTTATCAAAATAACATTATATAATAGTGAAAAACAAAAAATGACATGAAAATAAAAAAAGGAAACTTAGCACAAATAACATAGTATATTAGTGAAATACAAAAAATGACTTTAGAATAAAGGAAACTTATCAAAACAAAATACAATTAAGGAAAATAAAAAAGATAAAAAAATAAAATGAAGGAAACTTACCTCAAGACTTAGCAATACAATTAATACAAATAGAAAATCACAATTACAAATTAAAAAACCAACACAATTAGGGGAAATAGCATTAAAAAAAACAATAAAAAAAGAAAGGAAACTTATCAAAAATGACATGATATAATAGTGAAAAACAAAAATGACATGAAAATAAAGGAAACTTATCAAAACAAAATACAAATAAGGAAAATAAAAAAGATCAAAAAATAAAAAAGGAAACTTAGCACAATACTAAGTAATAAAAAAAATTTAACAAAAAAAATTACAATTGCAAATTAAAAAAATGAAAATAAAAAAAAATTAAAAGGATTAAAACAAAACTTAAAAATGCTAATGTGGTGGAAAATACAATTCAAAAATCATTTAACAAAACTTGCCATTAAAAAACAATACAATTAGGGAAAATAGCATTTAAAAAACAGTAAAAAAAGAAAGGAAACTTATCAAAATAACATTATATAATAGTGAAAAACAAAAAATGACATGAAAATAAAAAAAGGAAACTTAGCACAAATAACATAGTATATTAGTGAAATACAAAAAATGACTTTAGAATAAAGGAAACTTATCAAAACAAAATACAATTAAGGAAAATAAAAAAGATCAAAAAAATAAAATGAAGGAAACTTACCTCAAGACTTAGCAATACAATTAATACAAATAGAAAATCACAATTACAAATTAAAAAAACAACACAATTAGGGGAAATAGCATTTTAAAAAAACAATAAAAAAAGAAAGGAAACTTATCAAAAATGACATGAAAATAAAGGAAACTTATGAAAACAAAATACAAATAAGGAAAATAAAAAAGATCAAAAAATAAAAAAGGGAAAATCAGCACAATACTAAGTAATAAAAAAAAATTAACAAAAAAAATTACAATTGCAAATTAAAAAAATGAAAATTAAAAAAAATTAAAAGGATTAAAACAAAACTTAAAAATGCTAATGTGGTGGAAAATACAATTCAAAAATCATTTAACAAAACTTGCCATTAAAAAACAATACAATTAGGGAAAATAGCATTTAAAAAACAGTAAAAAAAGAAAGGAAACTTATCAAAATAACATTATATAATAGTGAAAAACAAAAAATGACATGAAAATAAAAAAAGGAAACTTAGCACAAATAACATAGTATATTAGTGAAATACAAAAAATGACTTTAGAATAAAGGAAACTTATCAAAACAAAATACAATTAAGGAAAATAAAAAAGATCAAAAAAATAAAATGAAGGAAACTTACCTCAAGACTTGGCAATACAATTAATACAAATAGAAAATCACAATTACAAATTAAAAAAACAACACAATTAGGGGAAATAGCATTTTAAAAAAACAATAAAAAAAGAAAGGAAACTTATCAAAAATGACATGAAAATAAAGGAAACTTATCAAAACAAAATACAAATAAGGAAAATAAAAAAGATCAAAAAATAAAAAAGGGAAAATCAGCACAATACTAAGTAATAAAAAAAAATTAACAAAAAAAATTACAATTGCAAATTAAAAAAATGAAAATTAAAAAAAATTAAAAGGATTAAAACAAAACTTAAGAATGCTAATGTGGTGGAAAATACAATTCAAAAATCATTTAACAAAACTTGCCATTAAAAAACAATACAATTAGGGAAAATAGCATTTAAAAAACAGTAAAAAAAAAAGGAAACTTATCAAAATAACATTATATAATAGTGAAAAACAAAAAATGACATGAAAATAAAAAAAGGAAACTTAGCACAAATAACATAGTATATTAGTGAAATACAAAAAATGACTTTAGAATAAAGGAAACTTATCAAAACAAAATACAATTAAGGAAAATAAAAAAGATAAAAAAAATAAAATGAAGGAAACTTACCTCAAGACTTAGCAATACAATTAATACAAATAGAAAATCACAATTACAAATTTAAAAAACAACACAATTAGGGGAAATAGCATTTAAAAAAAAAACAATAAAAAAAGAAAGGAAACTTATCAAAAATGACATGATATAATAGTGAAAAACCGCAGTGTACCACTCAAGTAAGAAACAGTTTTTACTTGAAAAGGCAAAGCAAAACAAAACAACAACATAAGGCTACACTTAATCCAGTCAACGGTGGTGAGGTTGTAGCCTGGCTGAGCCATCCTGTTGCGTGAGTCACTTGACTGTTGTGGGAAGGAACGTCATGTGACTCATGCAACAGGATGGCCCAGTCAGTGGTGGTGAGGTTGTCCTGTCCATCATCTTATTGTAGGGTCCTCATGCATCTGAAGTGTCTGTCTCCTCACGTTGTTCCTTCTGCAGCCTAAGGAACCTCAATTTTTTGAAAATTACTTCTCCTATAATAAAATTTACAAAACTAAGACAACTAATACAACCAGTACAAATGCCAAAACATCCAAAAAAATACAGCATGACAAAAAAAAAAACTAAAACCTAGGATTAAAAACAGCAGTGTATGACTAAAGTGAAGAACAATTATTCCTTTAAAAGGCAAAGAGGAGAAGTATTTTAGTGTAGAAAGAATTAAAAAGCATTAAAATAGTTTTGAAAAATGATCCCTGCAGAAGAAGGTGCGTCTCTGTCCTCACTCTGGGTTCAAATGACTGATAGGTGTCCAAACTCAACAGTTAACAGGCTAAGGGGACATTTTAAAGCTAAACATCAGGTGTTGTTATTTTTTGAAATGGAGATGTTTGTGAAAATGTGTGAAAACTTCAAAGTGTTATAACTCAGTGTTTCATGAGCCAAAATCATGTCCAGTCAATAAAGGCAACACAATTTTCTCACAAATCACCACAAAAGGCCACAAATCGATCAGGTTATGAATCATATGGAGAAAGGCAAAGCAGCGTTAACAAAACAAAACAAAACAAAACAAAACAACAACATTAAGCTACACTTAACCCAGTCAGTTGTGGTGAGGGTGACCTGTCCATCATCTTATTGGAGCATCCTCATGTATCTTAGGACCCTCATTCTTTAAAAACAAACACTTTTCCAAAAAGAATATTTACAAAACTAAGACAACTAAAACAACCAGTACAAATGTAAAAACATCCAAACAAATACAGCATGACAAAAAAAATGTTGACATTTAAATTAAATAAAAACCCAAAGCTAAAATTAAAAACAGCAGTGTATGACTAAAGTGAAGAACAATTATTCCTTTAAAAGGCAAAGAGTAAAACAAAGTGATACTTGACCCAGTCAGTGGTGGTGAGGTTGTCCTGTCCATCATCTAATTGTAGGATCCTCATGCATCTGAAGTGTCTGTCTCCCCATGTTGTTCCTTCTGCAGCCTTAGGACCCTCAATTTTTTTAAACAAATGCTTTTTCTTAAAAAAAAGTTTACAAAACCAAGACAACTAAAACATCCAAACAAATGTAAAAACATCCAAACAAATACAGCATGACAAAAAAATAGTATAATAGTTTTGAAGAATGATCCCTGCAGAAGAAGGTGCGTCTCTGTCCTCACTCTGGGTTCAAATGACTGATAGGTGTCCAAACTCAACAGTTAACAGGCTAAGGGGACATTTTAAAGCTAAACATCAGGTGTTGTTATTTTTTGAAATGGAGATGTTTGTGAAAATGTGTGAAAACTTCAAATTGTTATAACTCAGTGTTTCATGAGCCAAAATCATGTCCAGTCAATAAAGGCAACACAATTTTCTCACAAATCACCACAAAAGGCCACAAATCGATCAGGTTATGAATCATATGGAGAAAGGCAAAGCAGCGTTAACATAACAAAACAAAACAACAACATTAAGCTACACTTAACCCAGTCAGTGGTGGTGAAGGTGACCTGTCCATCATCTTATTGGAGCGTCCTCATGTATCTTAGGACCCTCATTCTTTAAAAACAAACACTTTTCCAAAAAGAAAATTTACAAAACTAAGACAACTAAAACAACCAGTACAAATGTAAAAACATCCAAACAAATACAGCATGACAAAAAAAATGTTGACATTTAAATTAAATAAAAACCCAAAGCTAAAATTAAAAACAGCAGTGTATGACTAAAGTGAAGAACAATTATTCCTTTAAAAGGCAAAGAGTAAAACAAAGTGATACTTGACCCAGTCAGTGGTGGTGAGGTTGTCCTGTCCATCATCTAATTGTAGGATCCTCATGCATCTGAAGTGTCTGTCTCCTCATGTTGTTCCTTCTGCAGCCTTAGGACCCTCAATTTTTTTAAACAAATACTTTTTCTTAAAAAAAAGTTTACAAAACTAAGACAACTAAAACAAACAGTACAAATATAAAAACATCTAAACAAATACAACATGACAAAGAAATAGTATAATAGTTTTGAAAAATGATCCCTGCAGAAGAAGGTGCATCTCTGTCCTCACTCTGGGTTCAAATGACTGATCAGTGTCCAAACTCAACAGTTAACAGGCTAAGGGAACACATCACCTTAGACTCACTGACATCATCACTGACATCATCATTACCATGGAGATGTTTGTTTTCTTTTAAATTAAAAAATGTGTGAAAACTTCAAATTGTTATAACTCAGTGTTTCATGAGCCAAAATCATGCCCAGTCACTAAAGTCAACACAATTATGTCACAAATCACCACATAAGGCCACAAATCGATCAGGTTATGAATCATATGAAGAAATAAACACACTTTCAGTCACTCTTAGCTGGTCTTTGTATTTATTGTGAAATCCCCCCAAAAAACATCAGTTTAAAAATCTTTTTGGTCCACGTCCCTGAAAGAGATCAGTAACGGTAATTGAAAGTGTTTACCTTTAGTGCAAAGAGGAGACAGCTTTCTCAGATATGTTTGTTTTGTTTCGAGCTCCTTCTGCAGTTTATCAAGCTTTTTATAAGCTGCCTTTTCCCTCTCAACACTACACCTCACTGTCGGGGGTCACAGAGTGGGATTAAAAAGCACTTTTGTGACCTGCAGAGCTGTTTGAGAGGTTTCACCTGGTGTGTGTTATCACAGTTATCTTCTTCCTGTTTCTGTTTTTACATTAATTTATTCATTAAAGATGAGAACAAAAAACGACACGGACTCTTTTTCTTCTTCATAGCAGTTTATTTAACAGTCTTCAATGGAAACATATTTCCACGGTCGAGTGCAATATTCATAAATAGGGACACGTTCCCCACTTCCCAAACTCCAACACAAACCAGCCTTTGTCCCATATTGCATTTAGTGAGATGTAGTAAAATAAATAAGCACCGCTCCTCCATCGATTTTATATTACATGATTGCCTTCATGGTTCCTCTTCACAGGCTGGGTACCTTCTGTTTAAAGAACTGAGTGGATATAGTATTGCATCAGAGCAGCTTTGAGCTACAGCGACAGAAGACGAGTATATCTCTTCACACATGCAAACAGACTGAGGCGAGACCCTCGACAACACAGCTGACGACACCGTCCTAATCTAACCACGACTCTTTTGGAAGTTTTTGGAGACACTGGATTTGTTTTACAGAAGATTACAAGCACCAAACTGTCTTTTTTTTTTTGGTGTAAGGTTTAACATGTTACGAGTTTACATACACTTGTGCAAAGAAGTTCAAAGCATGATTAAGTGATAAACGTCGATACACAGAAAGTTTCCAGGCAGACCCACTTTGACGACACATAAAAATGGCTTCCTTAAAGCACACCAACACGGATAATTCGTCTCAGACATGGGGTTTGGAAGGATAACGAATGTCATTATACATAAACATTACAATAAATGCATGCAAATGCGGATCACTCACATAACGGATTAAAATAGAGGTAGATTCACAAAACGAGGGAAAGCTTTAAAGAACACAATATTTGAGAGCTCACAGCTGAAAATCCCGTATTGCATACCCAAGCTGTGTTTCAAACTATCCTACACGTAGTTTGAAGATGCACCAACAGCACGTTCAGCCTTGCAGACTCTGCTGTTGTTATGGCTTTGGCTTGCATTGCTTCCTTAAGAATATGTTGAATCCAGCAAAATGAAGTAAAAACACTTAAACAGGAACAAAGAAACACACAGTTATTGGTAAGTGACCTCTTCTGGTTCTGCTACAGCAGCATCAGTGAAGCTCCGGACTTCACTGCACACAGATTATCTGATTCAGACTCCCATTAACACACAACATGAATATAAATTATGTAAAACTTGAAATGTGTGATTGCATCCAAACACATCTACATACAGAGGAGATTCTGTTTTGGTGATAAACGCAGCTGAACATCTCAAATCATGATCCTACCTTACAGACACACATGGACAACCCTGAATTAAGTCTAGTGCAAGATATTTAAAGCTAACATAATAAAGGTGGAATGCCAGGGATGTGCATACAGGTACCTGTGCCGCAGACAGGTACAGAGAGATTGATAGTAGGGGGATATACTGGAGGAAAAGAGCATGAGAGAAGCCAGCTGATGTTCAAACTGGATCTGCTGATTTATCTGACGCTCTGGGACATGTGCAGAGGGGTCAGCATCTCTTCAAAAATGGCTCCTTTCACGTTGGAGCCTCTCAGGTTGGCTTCTTGTAGATCACAGCCGGACAGGTCACAGTTCTGCAGAGACAGAAGGATTTAAAGAGTCAGAGGGGAAAAAGTGCAGCACAGGACGGATGTCATACAAGCTTTATTCAGAGGCACGACAGGAAACACTGACACGGTTATTCATAATCCTCTGAGCTGTAGAAAGCAGATGATCCTCTCAGGAAGATAAATGTTTATAAATGTGTCAGACTCCTATCTGGGGGTTGACATGATCTGACATGAGTGAACTGGTTGTCTCTGGTTTTGATTGGTATCTAGAGTGATGAACAGCTGTTCCAGGGTTTCTCAAACTTGGTAATAAATCTATTTTGAGTGAAAGTGCTGGGATGCACCACTTTTATTTGAATCCGTCCTGTTTGTTGCTGTGTCAACGTTCCCATTTTCAGAGAGATAATCCCTCTTGATGACTCAAACTCACCTCCAGATCAGTCCCCGCTAAGGTAGCTCCCCGCAGGTTACAGTTCTTCAGCTTTGCGTTTTTCAGAGTGGCCACACGCAGGTTGATTCCCGTCATCTGACTTCCTTCCATGTCCACTCCTTTCAGGTTCGCACCTGATCACAGATAAAAGCATTTATTTAAAACCTGTCGACAGCGGGAAAGTAGCTCTGCTGCAGTGGAAAGTCCTGATGGATCACCTTCCAGGTTGGCCTTCAGTCCAGATGGATCTTCAAAGTTACATCCTTTAAGTGAAGCTCCCTCTGCGTTGGAGCAGAGCATCTTCACTCCCTGTAAGTTAGCGCCCTGCAGGAGAGAAGAAAGTCTCCTTTAGATTCAGTGAGTTCACTCTGTCAGCAGACACGGTGCATGGAGACAGTTTTCAGTCTTACATCCAGGTTTGCTCCAGAAAGATCCGCCCGCTCCAGATTAGAGCAGCACAGGTTGGCGTGAGACAGGTTGCAGCGGCTCAGGTTCGCCATCTTGAAATTGATGTAACGTAGATCGAGTCGGGACAAATCTGCGCCGCTGAAATTAAGACCCTAAAATCAGCAGAATAAATAGAGTTAAATACAGAGTGCACAGAAGGAACTGAAAATATATAACAAAATGTCACTTGAAGCTCAGACTGATTTCTTTGTTAATAGTTGCATTTAGTTAAAACTTGTTTTATTATTTTATTACAGTTCTCTTTAAAGTTTTAAATTTAGGCAGAGGTAATGTGGAGCACCTCATAGAAGCATTTCTGCAGTTAGAATAACGTCTGTCATTTCACTGTCGAGAATAAACATCTTGGAGTGTTCAGTTTTTCTCAAATAGTCTCAAATCCAAAATTAGGAGTTACCATGTGTCTCTCGACCAAAATAATGTTCATTTTCTCAGCCTTACCTGACAGCGGAGCTCTGACTTTGTGGGTGTCGCCAGAAGGAAACGAACAAACTCTTTGCGGGAAAGGGGGGAGTGGTCCTCGGGAGGCTGTGTGTTCTGTTTGAGGAGCCAATCAAGGTGGATCATGATAAAGTAAGAAACTTTAACTTTACTTATATTCTGTTTTCAGATCATTTTACAGGTTTTACCTTGATTGCTACTTCCAGCTGTTCAGCGAGCTGCTCTATTCCAAAGAAGCGAGCCTCCTCAAGGACCCCTACATGATATTTATGAGATGTTTCATATTCAACATCTTGGTCTCTTTCAGGTCCACAGCATTTATACGATCATTCACAAACCTTTACCTCGAATATTGATGCCTTCATTGATGATGAGCTGTCCATGCCTCAGGTAGTTTAGTATCGGCTCAAAGTACTCAGGGCTGCGGTCGATCAGGTAGGCCCCGTGCTCGTCCTGCTTGTTCCCCCACACATCTGAAGAAAACACACAAGTGGACGGAAAACTCTGTGAAAGACGCCTTGAACTGAACAAGAGGCTTTCTGATTGGCTGAAGCTGTGATTTACCTTTCTCTCGAAACATGTGAGCGAGCATACTCTCCGGCTCTTTGCTGACTAAGGTGCTCCTGAACACAACACAGAGACAGTCAGAACAGAGGACATAAACATTATCATTTCAGACTGTTGTTAAACTGTATTAAAAACTGTAATATGTTTATAACTGTGTATACCTGGTGGTGGTGAACAATCGACCCCCGATATTCAGCGTCAGCCAGTCAGTGTGAGCTCCATGCTGATCAGACGAACCTTTGGCTTCATTTTGAGGATCTGTAACATGAAAGCAGAAGATTAAAACAGTTTCTGAGACCGTTTCCAGTTTTATAGAAGAGACCTGACAGCACTCACCAATAAATGGATCACCTTCTGACACATACAACACGTCGTCATCTCTGTCAGAAACAGGACACACAGAATAATAAGATTTATGCTTCACATTAAAGCAGAAAAACACAGATTATGAGAGTGAGAGTTTACCTTATGAGGGCAATGTCATCTATGAGACCACCTTTCCCATTATACAGACAGGAGGCTTTGATTCCTAACTTATTACTTGCTACAGAGAGTAGATCTGACAAAGTCCCGTAAACTGCTACAACCTGAAGAAACCAGATCACAGAAATAAAAGAGGGTTTTACGAAATGGGTCAGAGCTGCAAAACATAAAATTATAACTCCATCTAACATTTCCCCTGATAAAAATGAGGTTTACAGAATAAAACAGAGGCTAAGGTTTGTCTTTACATTTCCTGTCTGTTGATAAAAACATGAGAAAAACTGTAAACTGGAGTTTTATTGAGCTTTAATCAAACACGTCTGTTCAGTGGAAAAATCCAGTCATTCTGCGGCCCAGCCTCCTCCACAAACTCTCTTGACTCACCTTTCCATTTTTAGAAGTCCCGTTAATAAATAAGGTCACTCTTCTCATTCTTTAGGCGCTTTGGTTTCTCGGACTTTGTTATAAATGCTACAAATATTTGGCTTCAGCAGCCAAAGCTCTCCTGTCGATTCAAGCTGGACTAGCTAGCAACATCAGACAACAACACGAGACAAAAAGACTCGTTCAGGGGCTGTGGGAAAAACAAGAACTCTGAGGTTTACCATGACTATGTAAACTGTAACCATCAAGATTTAAACAAAATAAGTCTTAACATATCTCACTTTGTGTCTGATAAATCTAGAATATATTAAAGGAAGAACTCAGACGGATATTTGATATAGAAGACAACATGTGCACTTTTTGTGAAAATGATACTGAAACAACGGACCATCTATTTTTCTCATGTAAAATCACACAAACATTCTGATTTAACATTCACAGATGGAGTAAACAAAAAATTACAGTATTTCCACAGTGTATTCCTTTAGATAATATTACTTTTGGATACTACCAAATCAAATAAATCGGTGCAGACAGAAGAATATTACACATTTTTTCCATTTTACCAAGTTGTGCACTGGCAAGATTTCTGAACCAAGTATGGCAGATCCTACTAAATCCGAGGCTACCTGAAGGTCTCACTGTGACTGCGGTTCCCTGATTGGTGGAAACGTTCATACGTCAGTACGTTTGTTTTATTATCAGGCAGGTTGTTGAGCCGCTTTGGATATTTTATCAACTTTATGTAACAGAAGAGAAACTTTTCATTGTTTTCAGCTTGTATTTTATTTTTTTAGTCAAATACGTGTTGTTTTTTTGACACAGATACGGAGTTAGTGTGCTTTTCATGTTGTCCAGATGGTGGCGGTAACGCACTATAAAGTTTTCTTATTGTGGGCAGAAGAAGAAAGGCGGAACTGTCAAACAGCAAAATGTTGATTCATATTGAAAAACTAGTTTTTACCCTCAGGTTGGATTAAATCTGGAACTTTCTGTAACTCATAATTAAAGTAATAATGTCGTCTGAAAGTCAGCAGTGCTCGTGTTGTTCCCACTCAGCCTCCTCGTCCTCCAGTGTTTACCAAACTCTGAGTGAAATGGACTTTGAACGAGGTTTGCACTTTTATTTAAGACATGCAATGACAAATTTATTCATTAATAATGTGGAAGGACTTAAAGTAAAAGCTGTGACCTACATGTTTAAACTTTTCAGTCTTTTAATTTCAGTTTATTCCCTTTAGTAACTCTTTATGTCATTGCTTCTTAGTCTGATGGTCTGGTTCTCTGCAGGGATCTGGTCTGCTGCCATGGATGGAGACCTGGAGAGGGTCAGATCTTTAGTCCAGAAAGGCACAGACCCAAACCAGAGGGACACAGCTGGATACACGGCCCTGGTGAGTTTGTATTCAGAGATGTTTGGTTGTTTATCCTCCAGAGTCTCTTATTCTTTTGAATCCACATCTTTACAGCTTTATTTACTCTTTTGTTTCTCCAGCACTATTCGAGCCGCAGTGGTCATCACGCTGTTTGTAAGTTTCTCCTGGAGAAAGGAGCTTGTGCATCTCCTCAGACACCGGGCGGTGCCACGCCGCTCCATCGATCTGCTTACTGCGGTCACCTGGACGTGGTTCGACTCCTGCTGCACCACAGAGCAGATCCCAAGACGTGTGATGACGACGGTGCATCCCCTTTACACAAGGTGCGAAGACGCCTGCAGTTACACAGAAACAAACAGAGAGTTTTAGGAGAGTTTGACCTGTTTTTTAACTTCTTTACAGGCTGCAGAAAGAGGTCACGAGGAGGTGTGTCTGCTGCTTCTTGAGCACTCTCCAGCTCTTTGCAGCCAAGCGAACAAGAGGCTGCAGCTCCCCTACCAGCTGGCACCCCGGGGAGACCTGCAGGAGCTCTTAAAACCTCCACCGAGGTGAACTCAAGAACACTGAACCCACAACAGTCAAAGGTGCAAAGACTGATGAGTTCCTCAGTTAGGATTGAACTCAACTTGAACTGGATTCAACACATTTGGCTTCTTTTTTCTGGACTTGGACAGAGAACCAATGGGCGTATGTACAAAATAATAATAATAACTTTAAAAACAGATGTTTACAAAGTGTTGTAACAGACAAAACAAAGGAAGAACTCTGTGGACAATAAATAAACAATCAGGACAAACAAAGGCAGAAAGAGTCAGAAGAAAAGGCAGAGAGGTTCGTGTCAAATAAAACAACAAAAGTAAAGAAACTGATGAGCTGGAAACAGTAGGAATATGATATATATATTTATAATATAATATAATATAGACTATAGGAATATGCTAAACGAGTACAAAAAGAAATGAGACCATCAGGGACAAGACCAATGATTTGTTTGTTGTAATTTTGAATATTGAAAACTGGTGAGAGAGGGTGGGTGTGAGCAGAGACATATTCTTTATATTTTTTACATTAAATAGTCAAACATTTGACCCTCAGAAGTCAGCAGGATGACATTTATACTCACAGGAGCTTTACACAAAAGTAGTTCAGGCTCTGAAGCACATAATCCTGGCAGAAAGTTGTCCTCTTAAAAACATTTCTATCATCTCTGTTTGTGCAGAGTTGACTTAACCTTTGTCTGAAGACATGTCCAGGACACCGGTAAAACGTAAATTATTTTGACCTCAGTAAAATATGTTAAAGAATAGCCCTGTTCAACTCAGATACACAGAGAAACTCCTGTTTTAAATCGGACTAACCTCAAATTAAGCAAAATTAAATCTGACTCCAATTTCAAAAGAGTTGGGATGCAGTAGTTTGCAAATCCTTTACAGCCTCCATGTAACTGAAAATGTCTCTGTAGTGGAAGAAGAGTCCTGCTGCTAAACTGACCTGTATTCAGTCCTGACTTTGTCCTCCATTGAAAACATTTGGAGACCCTGAACTGTTGAGCGTCTGAAATCCTCCATCAGGCAAGAACGTCACAATATTACTAAGGGTTTTTTAAACTCTGGACTTGTGTCGTATTTTCTGAAGCAGTCTGTAGTTTAACACCTCACAGCAGGAGCTGGGTTACTTGTTGATTTTCTTTTTGGCAGATTTCTGTGAAGTGCTTTTTAAAACCTTCGTCAGCAGGTGGAGCTGTTGCCTTAAAATCCGTGTTGTTCTTTCTAATTGGAGCATGTGAATTAACTGGCAGCTCACACACAGTGACCTCATTCGATCCTCCGAGCACCCCGACTGAAAACTGAACGGGGTGAGCGTTAGAGAGAGAGAGAAAGGATCGCCGATAGAGAGACATCAGGGCTCAGAGACGTTCTGTTTGTCTCTGTATCAGGTTACATGTTGTACTTTAACAACTTTAATGAGTATTTCAGGTCACTCTGACACACTTATATCATTAAAAATGATTTGAAATTTGACATGCTCTCATCGTCAGCCAACATATTTTTCCTCTGACTTGTTGCTGCTTTTGCAAACCGCTTCTTTGTGAGTATTTAAGCAAGAACTTGGAGTCCAGTGGAGGTGGAGTGAAGCTCTAAACTTTCTCACTCTGAGAGGAGAAGCTGATGGTTTTATCCAAGAATAAATCCTGAACCATCAGTCTGAACTCCAGCCTGGAAACTCAGGATGCTCATTAGTTAAACACCGTGTCTCTTTTTAGATTTGTAAGTGTTTTTCAGACTAAACTGTATTTTTATTTATCAGGGGCCAAAAGTTGGAAGCCTGCGGATGAAGAAAGGATGTTGATACTTCCTTGTCTGCAGAAACAGATGGAAATACTCTTGTTTAATATACGAACTTATTCAAAGCCTCCTCAATAAGTAACACATGCACATACAGGAAGCAGATACCTTCTTCTCCGGACTGGACTACACTTCTCCTGCGCTCCTACAGTCCTACACACAAACACAAACCAGCGACAGGAAACCTCTGGCTGCAGTCTGAGGAACTTTCATTGGGTCCGCTGGTGGGTGGTGTTTCAAAAACTACCTTCAAACCACATCCAGTGCCGTGACTGGAGGGGTGCCAGGCCACATCTGGAGCTCATTGCAGCTGACGCCACACAGCACAAGGAGATGGGGTGTCAGAGGAGGAGGAGGGGGTTGATGGGGCTATTTAAGCTGGGAGGACGAAGCCAAGAGAGCTGTTTACGCTCAGTGACAAGTTCCTCCCTCCGCACAGCTGAGCGGCTGGAGCGAGGAGGATCACCCCATTTTGAGAGCCACATGTCAGTTAGAGCAGCTCGGCCTCTTCCTCTCCGGTCAGCGGAGACATCCCTCTCCTTTGGGTTTGAGTATTTTCTGAGTGGCACACAGACGATCCCAGCCGCCCACAGCACCTCCCGATTGTTCCCCTGCCAGGTTCTTTGTAGCACAATCAAAGTTGATGTCTCCGATTTGCAAGCAGGGAGCGAGGTAATGAAAACCCTCTGTGTCACTCCGTAAAAGCGGAGGAATATTAAAGGGCCTCATTCTTTGTTTGATAAGTTTTCATGAGCTGGTTTGAATTTGAAGCTGCTTTTCCCTCCAATGTGGAAACAATCAGAAAGCAGCAGAGGAAAAAAAACAACATTTCTGTGAATGAAGTGTGCTCTCAAACTGTAAAACCTCCCAGCTAGTGATTTCTAGAAGTGTAAGGTGTGATTTTTCGGCTCAGCTTTGAGAGCTTCCCTGTAATGTGAGGACTCCACAAGACGAGGAATTTGGATTACAGCTCTGTTTAGTGAGATTTATTTGGAAAGCAATGAAACTTCCTGGCCCTGGAACCCACTTCCACCATAATGAGCCGAGTTAAAGTAGGACTGGATGTTATTTTCCTTTAGAAATAGAAGGTGGTCTGTGCGCCATGCTTGAATGGCACATTTGAAGTCAGTACTCAGACTTATTTTAAACAGCGCTGCGGCCTGAGAGTGGAGGATGAGAACAGTTCGTCTTTTGTGCAGATTTCTCCTGTTTGACAGTCCAGTTCAGACCTTCAAAATGACGCTCTTGATTGTGTTATTTGGAGTCTTTCTGTGACGTGAAGATCCTGGTTTTCCACAGATTAAAGGCTCATCTGGTCCTTATCTCTCCTGCGCTCACCTGTACAAAATTAATGCCACTTTCTGGCCTCCCAGCTGCCCGACCTGTCTGAGCTCTCCTCAAGTAATCAGGTAAATGGCTGGCAGATGGGCACGCAGTCAGAAGTGGAGTACCAGAGTCTGGCATGAAGGACCGCCCCGAGTCGTCTCATCTGCATCAGGGGGGGGCGGCGGCGGCGTTGGTGTGGCATGAGATGAGGGGGCGTGTGTAATCAAATCTGCTGGAGCTGCTGCTCAAAGATGCTGCATAATCCAATTTAGACCCACTCCCACTTCAAAGCTGCATGTTGTCTGCTGCTTCAAGTGATGTTGCAGATCCTGAGCTCCAGCTTTCCAGGTCAGCGGGTGACGAGATCCATGAGTCTCAGCCCAGAACTCTGACTGACAGGCTCATCAGGTGATCCAGACACATGTGATTCATATGTTTGATGATTTAAAGAATATTTCTCATTTTTCTCTTTTCTTCTTACATATTTAATATTAAATATTGAGACCATATCTGATTAACTTCACACCAGATCCATCAAACACATCTGGATGATGTCAAAACGCTCCTGTAGGCGATTATCATCATGTACGTTTCCTCAGAAACAGCGCTCACTGCACACATCCTGATTTTTCTCTTATTACAGGAACATTTCAGGAGGAACGTTTATTTTCCCGGATCCCTATTTTTGAGTCTCTTTGGTGGATGGTGAAGCTTTTTTTATATTGATTATGGAGATGTAATCTTCTCAAAAGCAGGACCAGACAAACAGGCCTTGAGCTGTATCACATGAGTCACAGGACGATTAATGAAGCTTTTGGGAACATGTATCGAGGTCGCATCATAGCCGACTGTTTGAGAAGAAATTGGATCATTATGCTTTCTCTGTTAGATCTGCACAGGAACTTTGTGGATCTGTCTGCTCCTGCTGAACGGAGCGTTTGTAACACACAAAGACAGTATCAGAGGACGGACGCCTGACAGTATCTCTGTCTGATGATCAGTTGCAACAGGTTGTAAAGCAGAGCCTCCTCCATATTAACTAACTCAAAATAGATGATTAAAATACACATCTGATTCAGCTGATTTCTGTGCATCCTCCAGGAAAGGTCACTTTAAGTATAAGACATCAGAAAGAGGAGGTGGGACTGTGTGATTGACAGCTCTGTTGACAAATAAGGATCCTGAAGCATTTTTTCCCAGATTATCTGAGCAAAAGAGGAAATTATGAAGAAAATGCAACAGTCTGTGGACTTGATATAACTTTCAAAATAAAAGCACAGTTTTGCAGCAAATGAAGCAGCAACTTGTGAGACAATAAAAGCTCTTCAGACCTTTTTTTCCTTTTGTATGTCTTCTCCAGAGATGTTTATTTCTCTGGGTTTATCTTGCCTTTCCTAAGTCTGACTGACTGTGTTGTTTTACTTTGAAAATTTTCCATAAATATCAGGATTATATAGTTACTATGCCAACAATAACAATGTGGTAAAACAAACAGTAAGATTTACCAAAAACGTTCCTTAAAGTTCGACCCTGAAACTCCAAAGAAAGGTTGATCTCAATGTTAAGGAGTCAACTGTACGATATCTCCTCTCTCCTCTCTCCTCTCTCCTCGTCACTTTTTGTAGCTTAATGCAAATTTACTTGTTTTATTCGCCCCCAACTTTAAAGAGAATCTCACCACTCCCATGGTGTGATTAGATGATAAACAGATATTACCTTATTACCACAGATGAAGCAGCTCAAAGGAACTTTTGAAGGGAGAAAAAAACAGCTTTATACTTGAGCGGCTCTTACCTGTTTCATGTGAACAAAGGACGCTGTTTGCTGTGATCTTTAGAGACTTTAAATGTAATTATGTAAATGTGTTAATGGGTCTGATTTCACTGTCCCCACAGAGGCCAAACAAATCCTTTGTAAACAGACATGCTGATGTGTGGTCATGGTCTGTTAGCTGCACCAGAGCTGGTTACCGACAGCGTCAGTCGGCTCTACTGCACCGTGTTTACATCAGGTAAAAACCAACACACTGTGACTATCCTGCAAAAATACGTCAGTTTAAAAAGTGTGAATATTAACACTAATGGCAGCAGAGATAATCAATGTTGAGGTGACGATCAGTGAGACTTTAATATCAGTTTATAAATCTAAATTTGACCACCCAGTTTGTTATCTGAGCAAAGTCCAAAAACCAGCATCTGTGACATCTGGGAAACGCTCCATTTATCCTGAACTAAATAAACAAGATATTATTGTGTGTGCCGCCATCTGGACAACACTTTATTTGGTGGGAAGACCCTACATATGTCTGCAAGACGATGGCGAACCAAAGTCTGCAGGGATTGTAACAGCATGGCTCTGTAGTAGAAGAGTCCTGCTGAGAAACCGGCCTGTTTACAGCTCTGAAGTGTTGCCAAGCATCAAATATTTAAACCAAGACAAAAGTAGCTGAATTAAAATCTCTAGAAACTGGTCTCTTCATCCTAAACATTTTCAGACTATTAAAAGAAGAGGTCATCCAACTTCTTCCCATTACCATTTAAACATGAAGTCTAAACTCGTCTCACACCATCAGAGTTTGTTTTAATGCTTCTCAGTGTCCTGTCTTTTCTTAAATTGGAGTTTTATTTCATGTATCGTGTCTACTTTCATTCACTATCAGAGCTGAAGCATCAAGGCAGATTTCCTGCAAGCCCTCACTTTGAGAAAACCAGATCGGATGAATCCCGCTCATACCATGACAGATTTAGTTTGAGGGCAGAACTAAAAACTTCCATTTGACGCTGATTATCCACTCCTAAAACTTAACAGCTGACACCAAATTAGCGAAGAGTCCTGCAGCATTTAACAGTGAAACGTCCACGGATGCAGAGACAATCCTCCCACTGAGTGTGATTGACCAGGGGAACGTAACACCAGGCTGCACGTGTAATTGAACAAGATGGTTACGCTGATGAACTGAGACTCACAGAGGCACGCCGTCCCTCTGTCAGCAGGTGCCCGGCACACACTGGCCTATTCATATGCGCATTCCTGTCTCTCCTCTCGCAGCCCAGCAGGTTCCTCCCGGCCACTCAGGACAGAGGCCGACGCACACAAAGGGTCTTCAATCTGCCTCAGACAACAGGCAGCATAAAGGCCCGGAAAGCCACAACAGCGTCCTGTCAAAGAGTGGGGAGGCTGAGGTGGGGGCGGCGGTGAGCAGAGCTTGGGGGGCCCTGTGCGGAGCAGGGCCGCTGCTGACGGATGGATGAGGGCTGGGCTCTGAGGTTTTTTTTGTGCATAAAGGAGGATATTTGTACTTGCCTGGTAACAATGGAACTCAAACAGTAAAAAGCTGGGGTCATAAAACAGCACTTTGGGGCGATGAAGAGCTGCTAGGGAAATCATCATGCAAAACGAACCCTGGGGGCTGGGGAGGCCGATATTGTTCACTCTGAGGGTTGCATGACTCTTTGTTTGTTCCCATGCTGATGTGCGGCTTAGCCTGCCTTCAGTTTGCTTTTGCATAAAGTATCCCCGGCTTTAACAGTGTCCGGCACATTTCCTTACACTGAAAGGAAGTGAGGAGTGATCAGAAACGCCTCACCTCCCCCTCAAAACAGACAGACCGACTGCAGGATGAGCTTTTGTTGGCAGACAAAGGTCAACCGACTTTCGCATCCCCCTGAGGTTCGACTCTTTCTTCACATCGCAGTGTGTAATTATTAATAAATATCATAAACGGTATGTCGTCATTTTACAGCCTGTCAGTATCTACAGACCTGTCTATATATTTCTTGAGCAACCACGGCATGCACATACTGCAGGGACGAGTTAATGATTACTGATCGAAGCTTTTTCAGGTTAGTCTCACCTGCTTTTATTCTCTTGAAAGCAAACTTTACTCAGTTAGAATGTATTTCTGCAGCTCAGAGTTCCTCACAGGCTGAAAATAGGAGAAAAAGTGACATCTCGACCTGTTAATCTCGAACAGTTAAATCAAGAACATGTCTGAAATAAGAAGAAATCAAAACTACAGATACAACTGAAGGAAAAACCCAACGACCATAAAACACGTCTCCCTTTTGCAGCTGTAAACAACCAAATGCCATCTTTTATTGGTCTCCAGTTGCTTTTTTTAATTACGTCTCATCTGTTTTGCACACATTTTACCACCCTCAGCTTTCACTGTTCGCACCGAGGGGGGAGATTTCCAGAGTTCCAGATATATGACTCATCTCTTATCATAAGAGCGAAACAATAAGCATCCAAATGAATAAACAATCACCATATGTTCGGAGTTCTGCCAAGGCTTTCGTGTCTTGTGCTGATCTTATTATAAACGGCTTGCAGAGCATCTCGAGGGAACCCTTTATCAGAGACACAACCAGAAAAAGTGAGGCCTGTAAACTGTCTGCCTCCAGACTGCTGTCGCATCAAAGATCTTTAGTCGTGTTTTGATGCTCTGAAAGCCTAAGATGTGGCTCCACATGCTCATTTATGTTCAACTCTCACTATTAGTTAACCTTATAAACATGCCTGTTTTTTCTCTGGTATGAACGTGGTTATCAAACTCACACTCCAGCTGTTGATCAGGAAGAAACTCTCTTTGAAGAAGTGAGTTGATTTGGAGACAAAAAAGGAGATCAAGTGGGAGTGTGTCCTCTGTCTCAGAAAACACGACTTCAAATCATTTTGAAATGTTTAAATCAGCAGCCATTAGCCAGTTAGCTTAGCTTAAAGATTAGCTAAAGAGGGAAAACCTGCTCTTTGGACATCTCTGTTAAAGTCAAGATCTTACAGAAATTAAAGTCCCATTCAGATTATTCTTTTACTACTTAAAGTGTTGATCATTTCTTCATTAGACCGAGACGCTTAGGCAGAAGAACTACCGCGTCTGCAGTGCAAAATGGTTAATATGATGATTATTACTTCCTTGGGCTGTAGTCCGTAATGGACTGGTCTGAGGTCTCGCTACAAACAAGCGGCTGCTGGAAGAGAGTAGGTGAGTTGTGTTTAGTCTCTTTGCTAAAGAAATGAGTCAAAGTTAAAAAGATGTTTGGTGGCTAGTAGCTACTATGTCTGTGACCTTATATGTCCTGTTGATGAAGTTAGGTGCTGTTCTGAGCATTATTTGTGGCAATAGAGTGGCGTTTTGGTTGAGTGTGTAGCTCTCTGTATTGCTATTGTGCGGTCGTTACTAAAGTTGGTTTAACTAGAGAAGCAAGCGGTCGGCAACTTTCATCTCTGGAGGGGGTGTCTAACTCAGTGTTGCAGTGTTTGACCCTAAATAAATTTTACACCGGAATATCCCTTTAATATCATAATTAGCTTTCTCACCAGAATTTCAATCCACTAACGCAGACGCTTGTTCCGCGATCGTCCTCTCTACTTCTCCAAGTCTGGCCTGCATCGCGGGTCTCCGGGGGCGGAGCTTGGATTTGTGATGTAAGAAATCTCACTGTATCTGAACCTGCCGTTTGTGTCTGCCAGAGATTCACAGAGATTTGAATGTAGTATTGCAATTTTGCACTTCTTTTCTCATGATATGTCCTCTAGTATCAGAAAAATGCCATGTGAACAAGTAGACAACAAGAAAAACATGATTTTCATCGGAATGGCTCTTTAAAGTGTTCGCTTGATGTTTTGGGACAGACTATCCCTTGTCTGGGTGCGGTTACTTTCTGGAATCTCTGATATTATAGTCGTTTCAGCTTCAGATGTAAAGATGCTGCACTGATGAGCCAAGTTTACTTTGTATATTTGGACTTTTTCTAGCAGACAGCTGAGGTACGTTCAAAAAGTCCACTGCCGGAGTTAAAATACCTTCACCAGGTGTCCTTAAAGGATGTTTCGGTATTTCTGAGGGGAGATTGTATGAGTTGCATGTCACCAGTGAGCGAATTAGCCACAGTGGACGCCGGTCAGCTCTTCTCCTGTAATGAGAAACTGCTGCAAGAAACAGGACACCAGTCTCCTGCAGGAAGAGCCAACTCTGACGCCTAGTTTGGCTGATTTTGAGAGAGACTCTGACCCGAGCACTTAATCTCCGTTTAAGTTGATGCTGCACAGAGAATTTTTTCAGCACATTACTTTGAGAGAGAGAGAGAGACGATTTGTTCTTGCACGATTTGCAGACACAACACACTGAGGTTCTCATCAATAAGGGCAGATCTGACCAGAATCCATTGTGGATTCTCTTGGATCGTGACTTTCATATGTTGTTTTGTTGATATCTTTCCTTTCACTTTCAGTCTATGGCGTAAGATTTGAACTGAATGTGGATCAATAAGAGCATCATAATAACCCTGTATCTTATCTGAAGTCTGAGGAGTTGTACATCCTGTTACAACATGCAGATATCCTCCTGTGTTTGCTGATAAGAGCTCCGTTTGTGGTTTGTGTCACAGCCAGTATGACAGTCATAAGATAATGGTTTCGCAGCAGAGCAGCAGAGCGGTGTAACGACTATTAAACACAAAGAGTTTTGCTCTTTATAAGGAAAGGTAAGTAATTAATCCACCTCCCTTTGTGCACGTCCGGATCACCACACAGGGGAGATGAAAAGCAAACACATGTTGAAATCTTTTTTAGTCATCTGTATTTTAATCTGTCCACCAGGCCGGTCCTCATGTGTCTCTGCAGCTCCAGTCGTCAATCACTCCTGACATGAAATCAAAGACCATATGAGTGCTTCGTATACGAACTATGTGTTTGATCAGGCTGAGTTAACTGCTGTTTGTGCTGAGCTGACAGAAGCATTTGAAATTCTGATGCTCTTTGAAATGCTGCCAAACCATATGATCTGAACGCCAGCGCATACAGCTCCTCTATAGGTAGGTCTGGACAGGAAGTTGATGAAAGTGCTTATTTTTAGTCAGAGACTTTGATTTATGTCCCTAATGTTTATTACTGCACAGGAAACAAACTTCCCTCCTCTTTTAAAACTTTGGTGAACTTTCTCCTGCACCTGTTCGCAGAGTTAGACTCAGTCTTTGTTCGTCTGTCTTTGACTAAATAATAATAAAGTAAAGGGACTAAAGTAAAGGGAAGTTTTCACAAAGAGCTTAACTTCTCTGAAAAACACATTCATCTTAGTGTTGTTTTTGTGAATGTGGGCCTTTTACAGTGCCCCTTCAAAATAAAAGCAGTGCATAAAAAAAATAGCTAGTTTATTTTGGTGCAGTTTGAAAATGATGTTGATTTCTTTAATTATTCGGCATCTCTTGGACATTATCCTGTGTTTTCTCATTCTAATGTATCAGCATTTTCTATTACATTGATTTCGTGAACATTGTATCAGGTTGTTTTTTGTGCTGTTTAGGTTTCCAATCCCACAATGCAAAGAGCATGGTGGTGGTGTTGGTGGGGAGTTTGGTGGAGGTCTGTTGAAGTGGTGCTGTGGATAACAGGGGGAGCCAGGTCCCTACCAGCCCCGGAAAACCTGCGTCAAGTTTGAAACTAACAGCCCGGATCATGTCGGAATTCCGGGTGTGTGACATTCAAAATAAAAGACACACCCACACAAAAGAAAGTTATTTTACGAACTTGTTTGGTATTCATAACTAAGATTTTAAATCAAATTTAATTTAGAAAATAGGAAAAAATAATAATACCACCTCATTGAACTCGATGCTAACAGGTATTGCAAAAAACAAGGTGTTAAAGTTGGGGAAGTTTGTCTGGAGAAGTGATAAATTTCACTGATAACAATTAAATTTCTTTTTTAATTAAAATTTTCTCATTATTTTTTAACTTTGACCAAGACTCATTCCACCCAATCCCCCCTCCTTTTCTATTGTTGTTATTCTCATTTCGTTAAGGTTTTAGTGTTGTTTTTTTCTCTTTTTAGAGACATTAATAAAACTTGATCTCTTCAATGGTCTACAGGACACAAAGAAGCAGGTAATAAAATTATGATCACATTTTTTAACTTTTAACTCTTTATTTTATTTCATTTAACTAATTTGATTTGATTTATTTTGGTTGAATTTTTTTCTATTTTACTTGATTTTATGATCTACTCAAGTTTTTTTGATAAGATACTCCTTTATTAGTCACACAAGGGGAAATTCCCATTTACATGATGTTATTTTTTGTATTAAATTAGTTTTATTTTTTTATTTGATTTATTTTAATTGTTATTTATTTGAGTCCCTTTAATGTTTTTGTTTATTATATTTTCATATATTTAATATGATTTTTAATGACAATGTAATGTATTATCTACTCAATTTGATCTAATTCACTTTTAATATAATTTCGTTTTATTTGTATTTATCTCATTTTATTTTTATTTTTATCTTTTTCATCATTTTATTTTTTTATTTTTGTCATTCTATTTTCTTTCATTTTATATTATTTTTGTTTATCGTAGTTTAAATTTTTTAAGTTTAGGTTAGTTTGTCTTCGTTTTATTCCTGCTTTTATTTTGAATGCAGTGACCGGAAGTGAGTCCCTCCTCGTGTGTCGGTCTCTCCGTGAGTCTCGAGGATGCGCACTCTCTCAGATTTAAGGGGGGAGGTTTGGAGCAGCCTGAGCGGACAGACTCTCGGTGGTTTTTACGGCATTTCTCCGCCAGGAACGGTCGGAACACTTTCCAGGATTGTTCGAACTTCGCGTGTTTGAGTAAATTTAACCGAGTAACGTCGTTTTTGTTCGTGGATGTTTTCTCAGACAGAGTTGAAGAAGTTTGTGTTTCAGTTCTTGGACTTTTTTCTTCATGGTTTGTGGATAAAGAAGCTGAACTAACCTCCTCCTCCTCTTCGGCACGGACTGCTGCTCTCTCTGTGTTTCTCCTGTTCAGGTTAGCGAGGTGAAAGAAAAGACTCTAAACTGATCTGTACTGTTTTAAAAAACAAAGAAATCTCCGTGTGGCTGTTTTTTTCTCCCTCCTGGTTGATAATTTGTGTGGGTTTTTTTTTGGGACTCACATTCTTTCCTTGTGTCGCCGAAGTTTGGCTGAAGTATGCGCAAACTTGTGGGTCAAACGAGCTGAGTTGGAGTTTGTGAGTTTTGGTTACACGTTTTATCTGGATATTTGGGATTTTTGGGATTTTTTCCTCTTCATCTAATCTCAGCTCGGGACTCTTCCTCCTCCTCTGAAGCACACTGGCTGTTTCTCAGCCCCCCAACACTGAGGTGAGTGTGAGTCCTGCTTTACTCACTTTAAAACCTCTTTATTAAACTCTCACACTCACCACATTTTCTCCTGAAAGCACAAATTAAAGTTCTGTAAATGTGTGTTTAATGCAACAGTTTGTTCTTGCAGTTATTTTGCTGTTTGTCTCCTGCCCTCAGTCTCCTCCATGCTTGTAAATGAAAGAGTGCACATTAACCTTAAAGCACAGGGCCCAGATCTCGCCTGCAGCTCTGTGAGGGAAAAAAACACTCCTCTGGTTTTTCTATCTGAAGTCCCAGCAGGCGCCTCTTATCAGATTAGATCATTTACTTTAAAAAAAGGACCATCCTCATCAAGGCTGAAGCCTAGAAAGCAAATGTTCACACTGCAAATGAAGTTTGGTTTCCTGCACCTATTTTTGTTTTAGTGTTATCATGTGATTCCTCTTTGCAGACATGATCTTTAAAATGATCCTGTTTTAACTTTAAGATTTTCATTCCTGCAGCGACAGACTCAAAGTCATGCTCCTTCCACAACATTTCCTCCTTTCTTTCACATCACGGCCTAAATTACACATTCAGAAACGCTCTGAGGTTGAACCACATCTTAAAATTCTCAGAGGACGGCCATTATAAGTACATCTGTCATGAGGTCTGGGTCTGGAGGGGCCAGCCTGATGTTATGTAAAGCTCTAAATGTTATGATATGAAGGAAGAGGGAGAAGATGGATGGTTGAGGAAGGCAGTGTTTCCACAGGGAGTTCACCAAGAGGGAAAAAAAAGTTTTCCTGAAACATATAATGGGAAGTGAGGAACAGAGCTGCCTGTAATTTACTCAGCTGCTGCTCTGTGGTGTTGGAAAATGGAGTATTTACTGTAGTAAATCTATTAGGAAATGTGCCGTGTAATTAAAAAGTTCCTTCTTAGATCTAATTTTGAGAGTTTCATGTTTTTCTTTCAGATTTTTAGCCTCAAATTCACCTAAAAGTGTAAAAAATGTCTGAGGAGCTTGATTTTTAATTCTCACCTCCTTTCTGCAAAAACACCCCCTCCCCACAAAGTCACATTAGATTGGAAGTGTCAACCAAATGGCGGAGTGTGAGGTGGCTCCACAGTATTTGTCTTGACACCTGAGCTCCCTCCGTAGCACGCTGGTACCAGCCCAGGTTTCAGACTGTGAGGCTGCAGAGAGAAGAAAAAAAAACCCAAAGTGTGTGTTTTTGTGAAAACAGTAGCCTTAGGGGAACGGTCTGATGCTCTTGTGTCCGCTGAACTGCAGCCGTGTGCAGGCCGGCCTGTTGCTGCTGCCTGGCTGGGAGTGCAGAGCTGGACGGGGAGGGGGCTGCAGAATTTGGGAGCTGAGGAATTTTATGCATGGATGGCAGTGAACAGTAATTATGGTGCGGGCCATGTTATGGGTTAGGCCTGTAACCTTTGTCTTTGTATAATGAGAGAAGCTAAATGTGTCTTGTGTGCTCTAATCTGTTTAGTTTAACCCCGTTTATCTGCCAGATTTTCAGTCAAGTGTCACCGCGTCTTAAGAAGTTAGAAAAGTTTCAGAGTTTGGAGGAAAGTCAGAGTCCTTTTAAAACATCCATTTTCTCTTTTTTTTATCATGTTTGACCACAAACTGCTCCTTTCTGTCTGCAAATAACACACACCTCAGTCTGTTCTCCTTTTCTCACATTTACTCTTTCAAATTTCTTTTAATGGAAGAAAAACTGAACTTTTTTTCTTCCTATCGAGAATCTTTGCTTGGAAAAATGTAAACAGCTGTTTATCACTTTATCTGACACTCACCTCCCCACCACAGTTTAAGGCATTCCTGCTAACTTTCTAAAAAGAGTCGGTGTTCTTGCTTTTGTGGGTCATGAAAATACACTGACACTTGATTCAGCCTGTTTGATATAGTTTTAAACCCCACACAAACACATCACAGTGGAGTTTATTTTTTGAGGCAGTTATCAAACTTTGACAATCTCCTACTGAAACATAAAACACCCGTGATACAGATCTGTCACATTTAAGACCAAATACTGACTGAGGTTCATGGGACTTTGTTTTAAAAGTCTGAAAACAAACAGTACGTTGATTCACAGGCTGTTAGAAATCTTTTTATTGCATAAGTCCAATGAAACTGAACTTTAAAGATACATAAAGACACTTAGGTTCAATAGTTTAGGCTGTCTAACATACTTAGAAAACGCAGCTGGAGATTAATTTTCTCTTGCACGTATACGTCTCAGTACAGACTTTAAATGTGCATGCTCCAAACGGTGTAAATGTTTAAGGAAGTCAGGTAGTAATCAAATAGACAAAGGAAATATAGTTTTGTCTTTTATGAACAGTGTTTCGCTGTAGTTTGTTTATAAAATAATTCATCTATAAAGGCCAGAAAGGTTAAAAATTGTACCTGACAAACAAGCTTTTATAGACGAAGCATTTTATGAATTTATCATCAGCAGGTCAAATGACCCTCATAGTACGTAAAGTTTGTTTTCACCATTGGACACACAACCACTTTGCCTCTTTCTAACTTGTTTGTCGATTGTTTTGGTTCGTGATGAAATGGGAGACGAGCCTATCGTTGTGTCTCACTCACACCTTGCATAGCGGTGGTGGACATACTCCAGTCAATCGATCATTCTTTTACTGCTTGTGTACTCGGATGAGGACAGTAGTCGGGTTAAACCATGTAGCTATAACCCTGACTCGGTGTAACTGAGCATGTAAATATATCGAGTGTAAGCTACTTGGGCCCGTGTCCACTTGCTACATTTTTTGGCACTGGCAGCAACTTTTTCTTACAAAGTTAATGCAGTTTAACATTTTTAGTGCACAGTATCAGTTGTTTTTTTGTCCCTCGGCTAACAGTTTGGAGGTTATGAGGTAGAAGTGCAGTAAGATGCAGTGAGTGGACACAGGCCCTAACTCTGTTCTGGCTGTGCTGCAGTTCTAACACTGGTTTACTTCATTCTCCATGTTTTTCCTTTACCTGCTCTTATTTATTTCCTCGTGATGTTTCCATCAGATGTGATAAATAAATAAAGGGGATTGGATTGGATTGGATTGGATTACTGATATGCAAATTTACTAATCCAGCTCTAACCTTAAATAAAAAAACAAATTGACTATAAAAGAGTCATAAGCCCGGTCTTTATATTGATAATTTTACATTCCTATCAGCCTCCTCTCAGACTCACAGGTTCAACATGAGTGCTTACAGTGTGAGGATAGTAACACACTGTCTTTAACTCCTGCTCCCACGGGGGTTCATGACCAAGTGTTGTGTCACACTCCGAAGAGGTTACTTCCTCCTCTTTCGATTATTGACGTTTGCCGCTCTGACGAGGGTCGAGGGAACGTGGTCTTCCGCTCGCTCTTCGGCTCCTTCTGTCTGGCAGCAGAAGCACTTTCTTGGATTCCTCCCAAACACTGACTCACTGCTTACAGAGCGGCGATGACCAAGCTTCTTTATCCCCCCCGGACCCCCCTGGCCCGGCTCAGCTGCTGGAACACTGGACCATTCTTGGAAAGTGAAATTGAATTGGTTTTTTAGGAGAACACAATGGTTGTTTCTGTGACCGACACTCACACAAGTCATTACGTCTTAAAGGAAACCGCAGCTGCATCTGAACATGACGTGGTGTGAAAATGTAAACCATGCTGAGGTTCCTCTGACCCAGATGTGACACTGTTGTTGTTGATGTTGGTTTCCAGAGACATCATTGACCTGAAGGAGAAAAAAAAACTCCAGAGCGGCTTTTCTTGGAGCCCTTTGGACAAATCGTGGGAGCAAATGGCTGCAGGGGAGGGGGGTCATTTTAGGCTCCAAAAACCAACTGTTAGGTGATAGATCTCTCAGCGTGGAAATGATGGCCCGGCGGTCTCTCTCTCTACAAGGGTGTCACATAACCAGCTGTAGTTTTTGGGTCTTAAACAAATTCCTCAAGGGGGGGTTATGGGGGTTTGGGCCAAGTGTTAATCTCTGCAGCCAGATGCTGCAGAGGTGATGATGCGGGCAGATGTGCATAAGAGGGTCACACACTCAGAGGCTGCCGCACCACTTCTGGACTCTCAGAGTAGAAAAAGTCACTTTAAAAAGAGGTTTTCTTCAAGTCCTGAGAGTCTTTTATGAGCTCGGACTTCAATCGGTACTTTGAAGTCGCCAAAAATAACGTTTAATTCCTCAGAAGTGAGCAGGATGTCTCAGTGTTTGTTTGCTCAGGCTATCGGAGCGTTTTTAGAGCGGTGCAGTTTCTTATCGGTGTTTTCGTACAAGACGGCCTGAGAGATGAAGTTCCCACCTTGAACTTCAGTGAGGGACAGAATATTCTCTTCTTTTTTTTAAAGAGCAAGGAATTCCTCAGATTGGCGCGCTTGCAGAGAGTTTACCCCTCTTGGTTTCTGCTTTTTGAAGGTTTAATTGTACCTTAAATAGATTTTCTTTGTTTTCCACTCAGATGTTTTAAAGTCATGCACTCATTTGCTTCTCTCCTCTTCCTGGTTTCCAGTGCAGCTCTGTGAATGCCCCGCTGCTGATGCCCCACCGGTCTGAATGGAGTTCAAGTCGCAGAAAAGCCAGCGGTTGTAGCTCCGTCAGCAGGATGCTGATGAGGCCAAGTTTACTTCTGTTACTTCTGACTGTATTTGCACAAGTTTTAAGGACCCAGTGCCGGCCTGCCAGTAATGATGAAGGTAAGACGGCTCCATAACTTCAAGCTCCTTATGCTTTATTAATAAGCTGCTTTTTGCTGCTTCGATATCAAGTAGCTGTTTGAACGTCTAAACTTATTAAGTCTGACTTATCTCCACTCCCGCCTTGATAATCAAAGCTTTGTTCCTGGTGCAGGAATGTTCCCCTAACTCAGACCAGGCTTTGGTGGAGTCTGTCCTTTGTAGCGTCACCGTTTCCTCCACCACCCCTTTTTTCGCTCTGATGTTTGAGTTCACTTTACTGTGTCAGATTTCCGCTAAACTTTCACTCTACGTTACATTTTTAGAGGTTTTTCAGACCAGCTGGTCCGACCTCTCTCCTAGTTTCTCCTCTTACACTGAGGAGCACAGCTTTAAGTTTTCCCGTGGAGAACTCGGTCCGCCCTGGCTGTTGCACAAGTCCAGTTCTGAAAAGGGGGAAAGAGGCTCTGAAATCAAATCCCTAAAAATGTGTGTCTTGGAAAGCATCCAGCAGCGTAATAGCTGCCTGGACTTGTGGGTAGATGGGTTTGGATGTTTACACTCTACAGTCGGAAGTGGAGAGCAGAGAAGAATATGATGAAGCACAGCATTATAATTAGAGTAATTAAGCAAGAGGGTCTCTCTCGGCCTGTAAGCCCTAAAATAAACTTGTTGCGGCTGTGTTTGAGCCGACGGTGGAGCAGGGAGGAGTAAATGACTCCCATGTGTAGCCTGAAGGCAGCCCCACTGCCTCACAGTCCCTGCTCCTCTCCTCCTTTGTAATGAAAAGGTATTTGTTGTCACTGAGAGGGGAGTTAACTGCCAGGGAAACTATAAATTAGCCCGTTTTTTTTTTTTTTAAAAAAAAGGAAAGAAGATGCTACTCGAAGCCCTCCCTTATCCCGGAGGATTGGGTTTCTGAAGGGAATGTTTGTCTTCGAAGGTGAGCCATAAATTTTCCCCCCGGGGTGGGGGAAGTCTGATGCAGTTACACTCCACCCTGTTCTTAATCACCAAATGGCCAGGTACTATCTATGCGCCTCTGTGCTCTCTCCCCCCACCCACTTCTGCTTGGGAATGCTTCACTTTCCCCCCGCTCCCCTGCTGGGTGACGGATGGCTTCAGCTGTCCACAAACAATCACAGCAGAAGCATTTGGTTGCATTCCTTTTGTCTCGGTTAGGGAAACAAAATGCTCGTATGGAAATGCTCGTGTTTTATTCGAGCTCCTTTTGTTTGTCTTCAGGGTTTTTTTTGTTGTGCGACGTTCACATGAGAAAAGAATATTCACCTCAGGGGTCAGCCACATGGAGACCTATCAGAGAAACTTTGGTTTATTACTCTGTGACGTCTCGGTGTTAATGAATCCGTTAGTCGGCTCTGATGGTAAAACATCAGGAAGTTATTTTTTCGGCGGCGCTCCCTGAGGGTTCGCTTGAATCGATGCTCTGCTGTCTGTCAAAGCAGACGAGCCTCTGACCCCTGAGTGGAGCTGCCACAGAAACGGGACCGAGAAAGACTCTTTTCAGGAGGCCCCGAGGAGCCGGGCTCTGCCGGAGAATAACAAGTGACTGAATGTGAGGATACAACCGCCAGAATGAATCGACTCTGGAGCTGTTTTATTGTTCAGAATGAAAGTTTGTGAAAGAGACTGGTGCTCCTTTTAATAAAACTTCATTTCATGACTCTGAAGCCGAAGTTGGAGATGATCCAGTCATCAGAGTTTAATACAAAGATGAATTTTCTAACAGACCTGCAGATGATCTTGGTGCTGATCCCTGATTTTGAGATATTAAACATATTCGGTGTTTACGTTCAGATATCCTGTCTGGGGGATCCTGAGGACACACACTGGATTAGAACAAGCATTAACTCACACAGGCATCAGAATCAAGAGGACAAACATCAAGTTTATCTTTTTATGTCGTATTATTTCCATTAATTAAAAATCTGCAAACTCAGATTTATTTTCTAGGGTCAAACCTACAGTTTATTGCTTTTAAAAGTTGGTTTATTATGTTGTGAAATGATAATTAAGATTCGTATCTTCTTGGGGAATTCTGACCTTTTAGTTTATTTTCCTCAGTGATGTGTGTGAAACCTCAGAACATTCAGAAAATTCAGTTTTTACCGACTGTGGAGAAAATGATCACAGATGAGTAAATGACACAGTTAACTGTAAAATCCTCACATGTGGATGAACGTTACAAACCAGCTCAGGAAGGGAAAAGATGTAACATAAAACCCGGTCTAGTTGGTGTAAAAATGGTCGTTTAATTGCAAAGTAAATAAGGAAGTGCTGTTCCAACACAAGTTTGAGGAGGAAAAAACAGAGGAATATGGAATTCTGCTCAAAGAAACAAACAAATACAACAAAAGGCGACTTTAAACCAGAGTGAAGAAACCAAAGTTACTTTAGCAGTTTTAAATCATCGAATGGTGAGCAGAACCCTAATCCTTTATAAGACGGTAAAATAAATATACAGAGTCGCCTCCACAGAAGTTAAGACACACAGATCTCTCTGACAAACAATGAACTTTAGTCGGGCTGAAACGAGTCCTCGAATACCTCTATTTCTAAAAGTGATCAGGGAATTTCCTCTGCCTCGAGTTCTTGTTGATAAAATCAAATCGTCACTGTTTCGCACGGATTATTTTCAAGGTGACGCGACACGTTTACATCACCACGGTAGCGCAGTTTTGGTTTTGCGGAGCGTAAAAAAATGAGAAGGGCTTTTCTTCAGCAGACCTCCGGAAGCTCATTAGCAATTCGCCTCTGAGTCGTGGGCGGAGTCAGCGCTGCTCTGCACCCTCCTCTTCTTGCTAGCTTGTAGCCTAACATTGCCGGTGTCGTAGAAGAAGCAGGTAACATGGGAGCTGTTCAACTCCCGGACGCATATTTTTTTTTAGGATGGTAAGGGGAAGGTCCCGCCCTCCTTCACCTCTGATTGGCTAGAAGTGCTGGGCTCCGACATCGTCTGTCAGGTTAGGGTTAGTTAGGAGATTCAGAATTGTGATAATGTTCTTCAATGTTCTGTTGGATGTACAGAGCCGACAGCCCGTGTTTAACTTGAGCGCTAGATGACGTTTCCAGCTTTTCTAGCCAATCAGAGATAAAGGAGGCGGAACTTTCCCCTACCGTCCTACAAAAAAATATCACCTCCTGGACACCTAATGTCTTTGGGGAAGTGATGAAAGTTCATATCATAATGAGCTTTCTTATAAGCATTGCAATCTGCTAACGCGTTCGCTTGATGTGTTATTTTATCCAATTATTCGATTAGTTAATCGAATATTCGGTAGAATTCTTGAATGCTAAAATGTTTGACAGCTGCAGCCCTGAACTTCAGTGAGTTTAGATCCGATAAAGAGAGAGATAAAAGTATAAAGAGTGGAGAAATCCAGAAAAACACATTTTCCCTTAATGACCATGAACGTGTTAAACTTCCTCTTTAAGAATAAGCAGAACTTTAAAACCATTTTAATTAAGAAAGTCGAAGTTCGCTGCCAAATTATATTGGCTCCTGAAAATTCTCCATCAGGGAGATCTGGTGGTAATAAAGCGGAATGAATGAATCCTCCTGTTTTCCCTGTTTGTCCATTAGAGCCGTAAATGTAGCTGAACTCATTTGAATGACACTGGAACAACTTTGCCGTGCGGAGTAATCCTCGTAGCTCCCGAGTGTTAATCCACGCTGATTGTCAGCGGCTCATTTAGGATTGAAAAGCTCCTCCACTGGAGGGCTTTCAGGGGGGGACACTCACTCTCTGGATGTTTTGGGCTTGCTAATAGGCATTGTCCCATTCTTCCTGCTGGTCCTGTCTTTTGTGTCCCATCAATCCCCCCTCTATACGTCACCCACCCCTCGCTCTGCTGTGCTTAAAGGGAACTGACTACTACAACAGTTTTTCCCCAGCCAGCCGGACTTCTCTGCAGTCAAGCATCTCTGCAGCGACAGCAGGAAATCCCACAAGTCATTCACATGGCGTATTGCTTCCTATCTCGTAGCCGGAGAAGGTTCCTCAGACTGGCGCCAACTTTTCCTTTCTGCTGGTCCTGGATTTACAGACTAGTGAGCTTTCTCCCCCGTGTGTTTCCTCTCCCTTTCATGATTTCTGTAATTAGGCTGATTTTGAGCTACGTCAATCACTTTTTTCCAAGTGGATGGAAGAACACACGAGAGCTCGTTCCAGATGGGCTGCTTTCTGAAAATATGCCCCTTAATCCATTTTAATCCAATCACAGCAGCAGGAGGATTCATTAAGATGAAACGCCGAGGAAATACCTCAGATGTAGCGCAGAAAGTAAGAGTTTGTTAGCGTGTGATCTGACACAGTGGTGGGTTTGATGGGTCTGCGCCGTGTTTATCAGACTCGGTTTGAAGGAGGTCGTCACAGAAGCACAAATGGTTCTGACAATAAAGCTACGAGCAAATTTAACAGCTTTTATGGGCGTTTTATGATGTCTGCAGCCAGATTAACAGCTGGGATGTTGACACAGTCTTATCAGTGGCATCTCCATTTAGAGGGCAGGGACAGAAACACACACTCTGCCCCCCACCGACCCGGCACACACGGGTTTGAGGCCGTGTGCAGGTTTGATATCTGCAGCCCATCTCTGCGTGCCTCCTCTGCTTTCCCCGCTTTGGTTTTGTTTTTGAGGAGAAAGTTGATCCTACCCCCTGGCCCCTTTTCCTGCTGGGATTAAGGGCCTGTCAGACATATGTGATCCAGGAAATACCTTTACTAGGCCCAAGTGGGGTCACCATAGCAACTGGCACTAGAACCTGCCGCTGCAGGCCCCGGCCGGCTCTCGCTCCCCTGCACATGCTCAGTGCTCCCTCTTCCCCTTTATTGTTCGAGGCCTTTGTTGTGATGGAGGGAGGGATTAGTCAGGTCTGCTGATGCCGTCCTGAGGTTATGCTGTACTTCCTGTTGTGAGGAAGTGCGTGTACAAACACAGCGTGCTTTGAGCTCGCCTCAGAGTAATCACGTCTGGAGGGATCGCTTACAGCAGGAATTCGGGGATCTAGTTTAGATTGTGTTGTCATAGCGATGACGGTGCAGGTGATCGGATTAAAGTTGGTGGAAACTTTAGAGGTGTTATTGGAAGGCAATAAGACCCTCAAAAATGAGGATGTGAAAGACGTCCGTGTTGCTTAAGGGGGAACATCACCTGGTAGTTTCTCTGAGTCAAAGACTAACGAATCCCACCCTGATATAACAGAAAGTTTCTGTGGTTCTGGTGTACTCTGGAACCAGAACCCGCTTTGTGTTCCTGTGTTTCTGTCTCCCCTCTCGTCGTGCATGTGTGATCCCAAAGCAAGAATGTCAAGTAAGTTGTCTGGTGACGATCTCTACCTTTTGTAACTAGACAAACAACACCATTGTGATGGACAACATGTCAGCATAATCGGGTTACCCCCTCCCCCCTGTCGACTCTGTAGTCATTTAGAACAGGAGGGCTCAGGTGTCTGCCTCCGCGACACCTCCCCTTTCTTCAATCCTCTAATTGAATTTCACCTTCCTCTCCAAAGTAGCTCCCTGCCTGCCTGACGATGGGGCCTGACTCATTTGGGATATGATTTAATTTGTGGGAGAGGTAAGACGGGCTGTTTGCAGGGAGCAGATCGAGGAGGGACTTTTCTGCTGTTTCTGTGGTCGTCTGAAGAGCAGAGACGGCCTCGTTTTGTGTCGACTCTAAACATTTCAGACTCCGCTCCCCCGTCAGTCACTACTTTTACGATTTCAGAGACACTGTGCAGTTTTGTTTCACAATAAAGTTGTTAATCTTCCTGTGAGTTGCTTGTTATGTGGATCAGATCCTTTAATCAAACCAAAGATGTTATTTTTCGTCGGTTAACAGAGGCCTTATTGTGCTTATGATTACATAAATAACCGAGCCGTTCAAATTCAACCACGTCCTGTTATTTTTCTTGGCAGTCTCGGTGGAAACGCAGGCAGAGCTGTTCACACTCTACCCCGGGGATCGTCTGGATCTGAGCTGCACTGCCAAGGACTCTGCGGTCAACTGGACCAAAGACCATGCGCCGGTGGTGGACGGGGAGCACACACGCATCCGCAGCGGCAGCGGGCAGCTGGAGATCGAGTCTGTGGAGCTGAGCGACTCGGGTCTGTACTCCTGCACCTCCGGAAACCACACCGTCTTCTTCAACGTCACAGGTAGAGGCTCGGAGGCGGAGCAGGTTTCCTTCTGCAGACTTTAGTTTGTGTTTTTAGTGTTTCCAGTCAAAGTCAGAGTTTGTGAGAACATATACTCACTGTATATGTTGAGTGGATTTGTTTAACTTGAAGAGTATTTGTCCTCACTTTAACTTCCTGTTTCCTCAGTTGATATCTTAGCCTCCAGTGAGGATGACGATGAAGACGAAGAGTCGTCATCTGAAGAAGCCAAACTGCTGGGCAGTCAGAAGCTGCTGCGTAAGTCTGCTGATCTCCTCACGTTACCAATGCTACTGCAACAAATGGTCATTACGCGCTCGCCCGGTGTCACAGGGTTATGAGTAATCGTCACGCTCAGTGATTTGAGAGCTTTATGATTCAATTAGGGCGCCGCCGTGTGTGTGCGGGTCACGTTTGGGTGAATGATTTCACTCTGAATCAGAGGGTTTTTCACTACCTCAGTGACAGCTTCTTCGTGAGGAATGTCCCTGCGGTGACTCGCCGTGGTTAACCTTCGATGTTTTCCAATTTGTCTATCGAGCAATTAAGACACTTGGGCTTCATCATCCAGCTGCTGCTGCCCACTCTGACTCTGACCACAAACATGCAGCACACTTCAGACTCGTCCACTCCAACAGCCCTGACTTCACTTTCCCTTACATTTACACAAAACTGCTTCACTGAGGCGACGTTAGAGTCACACAACCTTCGAAGGGTTCGATTTTAACTGGAAGAAACAGGACTGGACAAGTCTGGGAAACATTTATAGAAACATTTAATTTTTTGTCTGCTCCATATTTTCTACGGGAGAGGATTACAGCCATTGGAGAAAGAAAAATCAGATAAAAAATTTTAATATTATTATTTAGAAAAAAAAAGTCAGAATTCTGAGATTAAAGTCAGAATTTTGAACATAGTGAGAATTATGAGAAAATTATCGGAATTCTGAGAAAGAAGTCAGAATTATACGAAAAAAAGTGACTATTCTGAGAAAAAGGTCAGAATTCTGAGATTTAAATCATTTTTCTGATGTGAGTTCAGAGTCAGAATTGTGGTCTTAATCTTAGAATTCTGACTTTCTTCCTCAGAATTTTGACTTTTTTCTCAGAATTATAATTTAATAAATTCTATTGGACATTTTTTGTTTTTTCCCCAGTGGCCCTCTTCCTCTTCCATAATGTTCCTTTCATTGATATGTTGAAAACAGTATGGTTTCTTCTCCTGCTAACTCTTTCCTGTTGTTTCCTCAGCGGAGGCCCCGAAATGGGCTCATCCAGAGAAAATGGAGAAAAAGCTTCACGCTGTTCCAGCCAGTAAGACCGTGAAGTTTCGATGTCAGGCCAGCGGAAACCCCACCCCCACTCTGAAATGGTACAAGAACGGCAAAGAGTTCAAGAGAGACCATCGCATCGGAGGCTTCAAGGTAAAACACGTGAAAAATATCGAGCTCCCTCCGCCTCTTCCTCTCTCGGTGACAGGACACCCTCTTTAGCATTTCTTATCGAATCACCACAAACTTATTCACTCCGAGTGGAGATGTGCCAGTGATCTCATCCCCACATTAGCTCACCGGCCCCCTCCCCTGGAGTGAGAACTGCTTCCTGCAGGTGAAGAAGCAGAGACGAGTTTCATGTTTGAGCGGAGAAACAATGAAAGATGAAACCTAAAGCCACAAAAAGGAACTCTGAGCCATAAAAATGTGAGAAAAACCTCCAGGTGGGCAACCCTAGCTGTCCGTCCAGACGGAGATAACACCGGCTGTCCTCATTCTGGGTTTCGACGCCTCATCTTTTCTGAAATGATATATTTATACACGACTCTGATACCCTCCGTATCTGATATACGATGTGTGGGGAGCGATAACTCTTTGTAATCCTCTTCCTGTTTCCAGGCGGGTCGTGTTCAAACGTCGCCATAACTGCTGATAAACCGTGAGGTTGTAATATTTGATAAGACGCTTTATTGCACTCCCTGGATTTACTTTGGCAGAGGTGTGGACCGGATCTATTATAAACCAGTTTCGATCATCATCATTTACTGTAAATTACATCATGACCCGTTTAAAAGATCAACATGATTAATCAACAAATTAACGTAAGAGCGAGGAAGTTATGAAAGACGGTCTCACTAACAATTACATCTGTGGCGCCGTCAAATCTGTGTTTTATTTAATCGTAAAAACATGCCGTCAATTTGATTTCAACTTTTGGATAAGAAGGAAAACTTTTAATGTTCTCAGCTGAGACTGAGCTGATGAGACACGGATGACACCGACAGTGTGTAAGCCCTGTAGAGGCGCCATCATTCACACGTTAGTCTAATGACGCTGATTAAACGAAGAGAGGTCACTTGTTCTCATCTTACTGACTCATGAGATTTACACATAACAAGAGCTTTCAGTGTGAGCTGCAGCTGCAAACATACAGATTTCAGGAGCGTTTCCACGATAGACGCTGCCCTGTTAGCCTCAGGTTATTGATAATCTGTTTACATGACCTGATTATGAGGAGGCTTCACAGTGGAGTAATATTGAAGGAAGAAGTGCAAACAGCCCTGACGAATATCATTACAAATTGGAGAGTCTGTTGGTTTAATGCAAATATTGTCACAGTTATAGAGTTTTTATTGTTTTGTGCAGAGGGCGCTGAATATTAAAAACAATAGTACGCTCTCTTCAAGGGTCTGTTGGTGCTCTGTTTGACCAAAAGATCCATCAGTTCATGAAGCAAACAGGAACAAACAGTGACAGCAGTCTCCTGTAAACAGTTCTTCTGCAGGTTCCTCTTCAGAGCATCCATCTGGACATCAGCAGACATCGTCTTTCACACGAACAAACCAGATGCTCCCCTCAGAAAACAAACTTCTCCTCTCTTATAGCAGTTTCTTTTCTGCTGCACTGGATTGACTTGAATACAAAATAATGCTGTGATTTCTTAGTCTCTTTATTAGCATCCACATTAGCACCTGTTTAGGCATTAGTTATTCCTTTGCATTGGCTCTCCTCAGTGAATTAAAGAGATCGAATCAGGTCTGAGGTATCTGAGCAGGACTGGAGCGATATTTGGGAATGTCGGGCCAGAACTACAAACACGAGATCTCTCTGGGAATTCTGCTGGAAAAGTACAGAGAGATATTTTCTGTCCTGAAAACTGAATTTCACTCAGCAGGGTTTGGTGGGACAGGATGACCGCTGGAGGAATCAATGTCAGATCACTGTCAGATATTTTGGAACTGCCCTTTAATCCATTCATGCTCGCAGAAGAAATAAGAAGTATTTTTGTAGTACGCCTTAATGTAAAACTATGAATATGAATAACTGGTGTATAAGGGTTTCTGTCTCAGCAGTAGCTCCTTAAAAATCAGCTAAAATCTAAGAAGTCTGAAGGAGGTGGGCTAGCATGAAACTGCGATTAAAGCTCCTCATATTCTCTCATACTAGCTTGTTGTGTTGGGTCTGTGGAGACTCAGGATTTCCAGTGGTCGGTTACAGATGGTTGGATGTCTTATAAGTCATGTTGGAGGAAGTTCTCCAAAACAAGAGTCTGAAAAAACAAGAACTTGGACGGGAAGTGGAAATCAAAATCTGGAGGTTTTTATGGGTATGATGCTGAAAAAAGACGTACCCAGAAGTAAAAAATGTTAGTAGGTACGTGATAACTTCTCATGTTGTTCTGTTTGAGCTCTCCTCATGTGTGCAGCCGTCAGTGGCGGTCGTCTCTCAGGTGTGCGGTGTGTCTGCACATTTAGAGGCTTCCCTCCTCTTCCCCCGCATCTGCTCTTCCCATCAAGGTGTAACTCAGTCCAGCCTCATCTCGTGCTTCCCCGGCCCATCTTTCTCTCCAGCTGGGACACATTTAGGAGTTTCCTCTCAGCTGCCTGCTCCCCTCTGCACCCCCCCCAGAACCACTACCAAAGCCCCCCACCCAGGCAGGCAGCACACTCCGCCATCTGGCTGCTGTTTTTTTTTAAGCCAAGGTGCAGAGGTCTGCATCAGCGGCTGTGGACGTCTCTCATCCCTCCCACACTTTTGCTTTTATGGCCCAGCTTCTATTGTTCATAAGGTCTGCATGGAGACGGGCAGGAGGGAGGGAATAATGTAGACCACATGTATATGAAGCCAAGCACAACACATCTGGCAGCAGGCAGCTGGACTCCTTCATCACGTTTTGAGCTAAATGAGGGAAACCGTACGGCTCGGTCTCTGTATATGCATGTTTGATGTTCGCATTGCCTTAGAGGTCTGCTGGTTAATCACACACTGCCGGTCCTGGCAGATTTATGGAAGAAAAACTATAACATGTCTCTGAAAAAAGAGCCAGACATCAGTCGCTGCTAATAAGACAAGTTGGGACAGATTTATATAAAGCATGTACGCATTTTTTCCGCCGGCCTTTGTGTGGCGGGACAAAGATCCGCTGTCTCGAACGCGGGGTGGTGTCACAGGAAGAGGGTGCAGCCAGTTATCTTGTTATCAACACATCATTGACCTTGTTAGGCTTGGCTTTAAAATTGAGCAAAATTTGATTTACTGCAATTTACTGTGGAAGAAAGCAGATGGAGAGAAATGAGTGTTTTTTGAAGCAGAGCTGCAGCCTTTGACGCCTCTGTGGCTCCTCACTGGACTGTTTGATGTTAACAGGGTTGTGTTGACGACGTTTTAGGCTCTGACTGAACTTTAGAGACAGGAATTCATGAGAGGATGTAGATCGGTAATCGAGTGTCACAAACTAGTGGTTTGTTAGCATGTGGTGCTACTTTTTACATATATATATATTTATACACACAAAAACACAAGCTACGTGTAAAAAGATGCAAAAAGAGGCTCTACCTCCGGGTTTCACATCTGTGCCTAAATCTGTGTTTTTGTACCTTCACCTTCAGGTCCGTGACCACGTGTGGACCATCATCATGGAGTCCGTAGTCCCCTCTGACAAGGGGAACTATACCTGTGTGGTGGAAAACCAGTACGGCAGCATCAACCACACATACCAGCTGGATGTAGTCGGTGAGTTTTGACCGTGAACATGTTTGTATGAATGAATTCCTCGTTGAAGTTCATGAGGTGGAGTCTAATGAATGGAGCTCTTGAATCCATTAAAAACAGAGCCGTGATTACTCCTCCTGGACCTGCTCTGTCACACTTACGCACCATCAGCCCTCCCTCCGCTTCTGTCCCCGTCGTCCCCCGGGTGTAGCTCGGCCTCAGCAGAGGTCCAGACCCTGATGAGCAGTGAGTAGCTTCACTGAGGGGAGAGTTTTTTCTTTTGCTAAACCCTCAGAGACCTCTCAGTCAGAAAACCCCGGACAGCTGACTTTCTGCCAGCTCTCTAGACCCGAAGTTTCCTCTGGGGGGTTATCAGTCTTCTAAATGGATCCACGAGGACGTTTCACTTCGCAGCTCCAGCCTCCACACTTCACTTTCTTACCCCTGTGTTGTTGCCAACTTTTATTGATTGCACAGGCCGTGTTTATCTGGTGAAATCGCTGCTGAACTCTGAAATTACCGTCTGTAACTTGAAAATGACGACGCATCATCAGATCGGATTATACAGGCGACCTTGTTTACCGTCCGCCCGGCCTTTTCCAGTAACAAAGCCATTGACGTGAAGGTTTTATTTGGCTGCTGTTTGACGACCAGTCAGCCGTGTGTACTTTTTAAAACCATTGCACATGTTTATCTTTGTCACCACATGTTTGCACTCCAAACTTCCACCATAACATTCGTGTGTTTTGGCGTGTTGCAGAGCGATCCCCCCACAGGCCCATCCTGCAGGCCGGTCTGCCGGCTAATCGTACCGCCTTGGTGGGAAGTGACGTGGAGTTTGAGTGCAAAGTGTTCAGCGACCCCCAGCCTCATATTCAGTGGTTGAAGCACATCGAGGTCAACGGGAGCAGAGTCGGTCCTGATGGGCTGCCGTTCGTCCGTGTTCTGAAGGTAGGAGGAGCTCACGTTGACCAGAACCTGTCAGAACAGTCTCTGTTGTATTTCTGAAGATTGAAAATTTGAAATTTGCAACAAATTGTTCGAGTTTTTGTCAAAACTACCCAGTGTACAGGGGCGGATCCAGGATTTTTTTTTTATCAGGGTGGCCGAACTTCTGCAGGGAGGGCATGCTAAATGTGTTCACACTAGGGATTCCACAACTCTCAGTACCTGCTTATGAACTGCAGTAATTTTGGTTTAATATTTATTATATTTCTCCCTGAATCGATTTGTTTGTGCATACCTATGTCCGATCATTACACACGAGAGTTTGGGGGAAGCTGAGAAAGAGAGTGTGCATGTGATGATGATGATGAAGCCATGTTTAAGAGGAATCAGTTAATTCTGAAGTCAAAGTAGTTTGAGGGTTTTGTCAAAGCTGCCTGTCTTTAATTTGGTTAGATTGCAATGCTGGCCTGATTAGCAATGCTGTACATATTAAATTTAGATCATATAACAGTGGTTCTCAACTGGTGGGTCCTGACCCAGAAGTGGGTCGTAGACACATTCTGGATGGGTCACAAACAGCTGGTCAAAATAATAAATATTTAATGTGATGTTTATTAGATATTCGATATTTTCGGTATATGCAACTTAAGTAGTTGTTTTCCTTATGTTGTCCCCTTCATGTGCACTTTACTCAATAAAACAAGTGGATTTATGTTAAAGATTAGAGTCTTAAAAGTTTTTTTTAATATATATAAAAAATTAATTTGCTTGATTTGAATTCTTTGAAAGTGGGTCGCTACTTAAGGACCATGGCCAAATGTGGGTCCCAGAATGAGACCAGTTGAGAACCACTGTCACATAACATATCAGAAATATGTATGAATGGAAAAGTTTAACTCAAAGTAAAATAAAGGACGAGTTCTAGACTCATCAAAAGTTTTCCTCCCACAAAATGGCCAAAATTTTCAAGAATGAAATCCTAAATAATCCCTCTGACTGTCAAGGATGTGAGAATTTAACCAAAACTGAAATCTGTGACCTAAAACTGAATTAGCATTATTTTTGACAGACCGTATTTAAATCTTCCGAATTTTTATTTGCTAAGCATTCAAGAAGATAAATATCCGAGATAGAAATATAAACTGCTACTTTGAAACGTAAAGAAAGCTACTAGCAGCTAAAACACCAATAAGCAATTTTTTTAATCATTAACACGACGAAAAATCAATCGAGTTCATTATAATTTTTAATGACTGGGTGGGTTTAATCATTACAGTGAATATAATATTAATGTGATTAAAAAATATGTGTTATTGATCTAAGGCTGTGGGCCCTGTGCCACCTCAGGCCACCCCTGGATCTGCCCCTGCCAGTTTACTATAGTTTGGTAAAAGAAGTTTATTTTCCTCCTCTGACTCTGAAATCGTCCTACATGATGTGAAATCTGATGTTTTCTTCTCTCTCTAGTTTGATCCTGTGTCGACTGTCTTTTTATTCTGTGATGCACATGCCGTGTTTTTGTTTCCAGCATTCTGGGGTCAATAGCTCGGACGCTCAGGTGCTGACCCTCTACAATGTGACTGAGGAGGAGAGCGGAGAGTATATATGTAAAGTGTCCAATTATATAGGAGAGGCCAATCAGTCTGCCTGGCTGATTGTCACCAGATATGAGCCCACAGGTAACCACAACTCAGCCACACAGGGACGACACAGCGGAGACGCTTCGAGCACCTCCTGGAAAATCTAGGGCCGTATAACTCGAGACAACCTCAGCTGTTTCTCTCCTCCCTCCCTCCCTCCCTCCCTCCGTTTTCTCCGTCCCTCTCTCCTGCCTCAGTGCTCCAGACTGTAAATGACGCTATGGAAAATTCCCAGCAGAACAGTTGAAAGTGTTTAGTTTCAGGTTTATGTTAGCCCCGCTCTCATTCCTGCTCCATGCCTGTGCTGTGCCCTCCTAATAAGGGCCTCACTTGCCATCTTCTTCCATTACTTTCGCTCCCTTGCCCTTCAAAGTCCTCTTCACACGCCTCACAGGCTCTCTCTCTCTCCCTCTCGCTCTCTCCCCCCTTTTTTAAAAATATTTTCACCAGCTGTCCTCCTTCGCTCACCTTCCTGATCCCTCCTGTTGTTCCTCTGATGCTCATAATCATTTATGGAAGTGTGATCGTGTGTGAGTGTGAGTGGGACCTGTTCTGCTGTGGAGTTTTCCATGTTGCCCATCTCTTGCATGTAGAGATGAGACTGAGGTATTTGATGTGGTGATGGGTTTGGACCAGTTTGTGGTCCGGCAGTGCAGACTCAACCTAACCAGCTCCTCCACTAACAGATACTGGGGGGCCTGAGTCCTCTGCAGGGGGCTCTTGGTGGTGTTGGATGGCGGAGGAGTACGCTCCTCCATCCCCTTTTTTCTCCTCTCAGAATCCTTTACTCATGGTTCCTTCTCCCTTCTTGGGCCTCTTGTCGGGTCTGCTTCCTTTGTTATTTTCTAGAGCGCTGGCGTTAACACCACGGACAAGGAAATGGAAGTCCTCCAACTGAGAAATGTGTCTTTTGATGACGCTGGGGAGTATACCTGCTTGGCGGGCAATTCTATCGGGTTCTCTCATCACACTGCATGGTTGACCGTTTTTGAAGGTATCAGTGGTTCTGTCTGTCTCCTTGGTTTCCATTATTTTTCTCCTACTAACTCCAGCCTGGCGTTCCGTATCCACATTTTCCAGAAAAGAGTCATGTTTGACTCTATTTCTGTCAAAAAATGTGAGAGGAAGCCGGGGCAAGTCACAAAGTACTAAAACTCCTCAATCTCTCTGTCTTTCTTATCCTCAGCATGGCTCTGCTCCATCTAAACTCTTTAGATGGAAGAGTTCGGGCCATGCTCTGGTGTCACGTCTCTAAAATGGAATCAGAAAATGCCAAACAACCAAATACAATAAAAGTCTCAAAGTTTATGTTCATGGTCTCAGGGGAGATAGGGGGATGCAGATTAATGCAGAGTTAGAAAAACACCAGAATACATGGCGAGTGCACCAGGAGAACCCAAGCTGGTACCAAGCCCAGTGTCTTATGTGACAAAACTGTAAATCTGGTCATTAGGGGGCGACACTTTAGATGGTATATCTGCTGTTGGGTCACAAACAAAATAGGTAAACGACCTTCTATTAGGGATCAGCAAACGCTGCTTTGTACCGCCCGCTGAGGTGAAGTGGTTAGCACAAACAAATCAGCCTCAGCTAAAGCCGACATGTTGTTTAATTTGAAGAGCAGTTGACCTGTCAGCCTCCAACTATCAACATCTTGACTTTGCAACAGTTAAAACATGAACCGTGTGAGAGGAAGCAAGTAGATTTGTATCCATGCCCATGTAAATTACTCAGTACGTTTACATGACGCTCGAAAACTGAATTATCACCTCACTCCGATTAAAGATCGGACAACTGAAGTGAATGTAAACACCTTAATCTGACTATAATTGGAGTCGGAGAACTACGATTAAGACACCAAGATAATGGGATTGGAATTCGATTTTCTCTACTATGTAACCAGCGTAGTCAGAGTATGATCGGACAGTGCATGTGCACCATGCCCCCGTAACCCTGGAACTAAAACACCAGAGAAGAAGTGGCACTATCATTTTAAGAACTTTCGACTCAGAAGCAACTGCAACTTGGCTGAAGCATGAAAGAATGTCCACTTTTGGAAGAATGAGGAGAACATCGTTATGCTTTCCGACCTGACAGAAATGAACATTTTAAAGTTTATGGACGGTTTCAAAACAAGGAACGGAGACATCTTTAAAAAAGGCCCAAAAATGGCGCCGCTGATTCTAGACCCATATCGCCCCCTAGTTTTTGGGAGGAGGACACGTTCACGTCAATAATTCGATTTTCTCAGCTGTATGTATACGAGGACAAGGAGAAGTGTCCAATTCGGCAAAAAAAAAAAAAGATTTTGAGCTTTGTCCAATCAAATGTGCATGTAAATGTACTGAGTGTCCTGTCGTTACATCATCAGAGGAGGCCAATCAGATCCTCATCCTCATTAAGTGGGCTGCAGGAGCATAAGTGTAGTTTCTTCACTACCACATTTACAGGGCTGCTATATGGAGGAGGACTTACCTGTATAACGTGGATAGACATGGAGAATTTTCTTAAAAACATAAAATTATTAATGACACAGACATCAACAACCGTACAGGACAGCTCATAATGAACACAAAACAAACACATGATAACCAATGAAGGGAACCAGCAGCAGGGAGCCAGAGTTTAGACTGAGCTATCAGAGCATGTTAAGTAGCTTAAACATGCGTAGGACCCTGGATAGGATGCTTCTGAATCTGTCGTGAAAACCTCATATTTTAACCAAGAGGGGAAAAATAATCACACTGATCGGTTTAAACCCGGTAAAAGTTCTGGTTCTCATAGGCGGGTTGTTTGGCAGCTCTGATCAGATCTCACTTTGAACTCTCTCCACCATCCTGCTCTTTAACCGGTGTTTGTATTTGATTTGGTGTAAAGCTGATTTTCTTTGACAAGCACCGCAAATGACATGTATCCCTGATGTCATTTCCTGCTGTGAGCGCAGCGGCTGGCTCTGATAATTGGCTCTCTGTGGTGGATGTGTCTCATTCCTGAGGGCCGGAATGGGCATTTGTCCAATTATCAAGCAGCTTGTCAGTCAGCCTCTTCACACAAGTGCAGCTCCTCACTTGTGCTGCTGGTGTTGGTTAGGGGTGTAACGGTACACTGCAGTCGGTACGGCACCCTTGGTTTGGGATGCATTGTTCTGTGTTTTGACTTGACTGCATAAACTGTTTGTGTTGGTGATTTGCCGACCACAAAATGCAGCGAAAGTATTGAGAAGGCTGTGGCGAGGTTAAATATGAGCGCCAGGGAAGGGAGACTTGCACAAACAGTCACAAATATTTGTTTACAAGTTAAGCTGCTGCCTTGAAGAAACAAAATTGTGAAATAGAAACAAAAACCGTTGTTTTGGCGCACCAGAGGAGCTTTGCAGGTGTATTTTTAGCACTGCATGACAGACATCGTCTAAAATATGAAAGACTGAAGATTAGACGTGATAAAATAACTTTATCCGAAGGAGTTTGACTGTAAAAGTTTAACTCCTGCAGACAGCCACATCCCAAGCCAAGGTTTGCACCGAAGAATGCTTTTTATAAATAAGGTTTCCATTACATCCCTCAAACTGGTATGAATAAACATTTGGTCTTTTCACTACAAGGGAGGAAAAAAACAAGATCTGATTCGGACTTTTTCACGAGTTCTCTTTTTTTTCCAACACAGCACATTTGAAAAATATTTGCTCACCAGCACCAACACACATCGATCTTTTAAAGTTTATAACAAACACAGTAAAATTTGGACCGTGTATGTTTGGAGTCCAGCAGTTATGTGACTATATTCAGCTGAAGCTTTTGTTGTTTGCTGCTTTTAGACCTCTAAGTAGATTAAAAATTGTTTGAAGAGTGGATTTGAAGAGTTTGCAGTGTTGTTACCCTGTATGAAAACCAGATCCTTAGAGCATTATTTGACTCCATTAACTATGTGTTCATAGTTTGTTTTGATCATGGAGGTTGGCCCTCACTCTTTCTGTCTTTAAAGACACTTTCAACGTATTAAAAATTAAGATTTAAAGGAAGAGGACGTGAATACTGGGCTGTGAACCGAGCGTTAAACGAGTGTGTGAAAGGCTCTGGTTTTCAGACAGGGCAGCCGTGTGTTTGTGTGATTTTATGAGTTTATTGTGTATTATTCGAGTTTCTGCGTGTGTGCGTGGTGCATGCTTTGGTTGGTGTGATGAGCGTGATTGATTGGGTGTCAGACCATCTGTGATTTCGCTGACGACACTTGACCCCGCCCCTCCCTCCTCCCTGTATTTAGCCGAACCGCACGGTCCTCCGGCCAACCACACCTACCTTGAGGCGGTCATCTACTGCGTGGGCTTCTTTTTCATCGCCATCATGATCGCCATCGTCATCATCGTCAAGATTCGCACCTCCTCCAAGAAGAGCGACTTCAACAGCCAGCTGGCCGTTCACAAGCTGGCCAAAAGCATCCCTCTGCGCAGACAGGTAACAGAAAGTAGATAGGGGGTTTGGAATATTTACACCTTTCCTTTTCTTCTTCTCTCTCTCTCTGCATGTCAAACATTTTGCACATTTTCAGGCTCAGTCTTTATGCTAACAGAAACTTCAAGCATGCATTTAAAGATTTCAGCCTCATTTTAACCCGGAGCTTTGGGGCGTCAGGTAAGTATAAATCCAGGAGTGTTTGAACTCTCAGAGCGACTGCACTTTTTATTCTCTGATCACTTCTTTTCTTTGGGAGATCTCTCTGCTGGCGTCTGCTGCACTATGAGGGGAGTAATGTCAGTGTTTCTTACCTCAGGTGTCCGTGGACTCGAGCTCCTCCATACACTCTGGAGTCATGCTGGTTCGTCCCTCCCGCCTCTCCTCCAGCGGGTCCCCGATGCTCTCCGGGGTGTCTGAGTATGAACTTCCTCAAGATCCGCGCTGGGAGCTTCCTCGAGACAGGTACGCCCTGGATACCAGTCAGACAACATCCAAAGGAAAGCTCTTTTTTTGATGAGATAGAAAATAGGGTGTAAATGTTATTGTGGTTTCCACGTGTCATAAAACGTAGGCGAGATGAAGAAGATGCAGCAGCTGCAAGCGAGCTAGTTGTAGCAGCTTCAGGGTCCCTACGCAAGTATGGAAAAGTATGGAAGTAATTCGATCAATTTCCAGGTCCTAAAAAGTATAGTGAATGAGAAATAAAATATTAATGTTGACAGACTATATCACCACAGTTATAAAATACTGTTTTCTAAAATAGAAAAGTAGGTATTTCCAAAAAAATAATTTTAAAAAGTAAGATATGGAAGAGTAGGAACCCTGGGAGATGATTTGCCACTTTTAAAAACCAAAGTTCAAAGATTTATTGTGAAGTGAACATCTAATAAAACTTAATAAAAGCTTGAATTGTATAAATTTAAAGTTAGACTCCATCAGAAACATCAAACAGTTTCTTTGTCTCATGTTTCCTGTCCTTCCTTCAGACTCGTCCTCGGGAAGCCGCTGGGTGAAGGCTGCTTCGGTCAGGTGGTGATGGGAGAGGCGCTGGGTCTGGACAAAGAGAAGCCGAACCGTGTGACCAAAGTGGCCGTGAAAATGCTGAAATGTGAGTTTCTTTTATTGTTTCAAGTCTCAGGAGTTTTCGACTGGGACTTAGATCTACTTGAGCGAGTCGAGGATTTGCAGGGAGGAAAGTTCTTCAGAGTTTGGTAATAGATTTTACAGGAGCCTGAAGTCCAGACTCCAGGGACGAGGAAAGTTGTAACACCACAGCCGTAATGAAGACATACTCGGAGACATCTGCCATTGGATCCCAGCCACTGTGCAAATGGGAGAGCAGAGTAAAAATTTATGAGAACCCTTGACATCCCATATAAAAGCGTGTTCATTAAAGTGCACGGCGGAGTGAGGATGGAGGGAAAGTAGCATTTATTGTCTCATACTTTAAGTGCCTTTCCCCGGGGAGCGTTCTCCGAGACAAACGCCAGACAAACTCAGCAAGACGTGCAAAGTTGCTCTTTGAGGTCATTACTGTGAGGCCTGTTTGGAGCTGGATAACAACAGAAGCTCCATTAATTACCCTAATATCATCCTTTTTTTCTTTTCTTTCCAGCTGACGCCACAGAGAAAGACCTGTCAGACCTGATTTCAGAGATGGAGATGATGAAGATCATCGGGAAGCACAAGAACATCATTAATCTGCTGGGAGCCTGCACACAGGACGGTAAGAGCAGACAGACAGACAGACAGACACACGGGGGTCTTCTGCTGACCGTCCACGGCCTCTCTGGACCAACGTAAACACTGTTGTCCCTCAGATAAACTGTGAACCGCTCTCTGAGAGGAGTGTAGAGGCGCATGATTAAACGTTTCTGACACCGGCTTCCGAGCTCTCAGTTTGAATCGACCACAGCTGCTGCCATTTCTGTCCAATCATCCCTGACGAAAAACCAAAGAAACTAACCCCTCATGACCCGCTGTGCACATCACTCTGCCGCCTCCTCCCTGAAACACAAAGCTCTTTTGTTCTCTCCACTTATTTACCAACTCAGTCTTATCTCTCCTGAACCAGAGATTTCATAAAACCACAAAAATATCAAGTATTTTCTTTTTTTCTGTCTTTTTTCTCTCCCTTTATTTCCCACTTTTTTATCAGCTCTAATGATTTCTTTTCTCACATGTGTCCACAGGTCCTCTGTATGTCATCGTCGAGTACGCATCCAAGGGGAACCTGCGGGAGTACCTGCGAGCGCGACGCCCACCAGGCATGGAGTACTGCTACAACCCGGACCAGGTTCCTGTGGAGAACATGTCCATCAAAGACCTGGTGTCCTGTGCTTACCAAGTGGCCCGAGGCATGGAGTATTTATCCTCCAAAAAGGTAAACTCAGAGAGCAAACAGTCATTTCCAGCTGTGATGTTTCCTGTATGAAAAATGTCAACAACAAGAATCAATATTTACTCGATGATTTCTCCTGCAGTGCATCCACAGAGATCTCGCAGCCCGTAACGTTCTGGTAACGGAGGACAACGTGATGAAAATAGCCGACTTTGGCCTTGCGAGAGATATCCATCACATCGATTACTATAAGAAGACCACCAATGTGAGTATTTTCATCAGTCTGTGATTATTGAGTCACAGATCCATATAAGAGCTTTTCTCCAGCATCAGTTAATGTGCTGTAAACCTGCTGCAGACGTCGCCGTTGCAAATTCACAGGAAGTGGTGCCTCTGTCCTGGCCAGCTGATATTACTGCTGAAGTTAGCAACGAAGCTCTTGGTGAAAATTGACAAATCTTTATGTGACCAGGTCTGCATAGTGAAGGTTGAGCTCTTTGAGAACACTTCAAATCCCTGAGCTCAAGAATATGTCGGTAATCTAGGTTTGAAGAAGTGAAACCATGACTGGTAAAGGTGTGCATCACTCAGTTGGCGCCAATTCAATCACCGATTTAAGATAGACCTGCAACCCTGCTCTGTCAGTGGGAGAGTTTTCTCCACAGCTAAGGTGATTTGTGATACCTCAGCAGATTAATCTGACTCCAGACCGTGCAACTTATTGTTTTCCTGCAACAGAATCTAGAAAATGCAACTTATAGACAGAAATCCCAACCAGCGAGTCAAAGTTCTTGTGCTTTCATTAAAATAAATCATAAAAATATGTCCTTAATTAGGTTTAATCACCATTATTCTTGTTTGTCTCTCCATCAGGGTCGTTTACCAGTCAAGTGGATGGCTCCTGAAGCTCTCTTTGACCGGATATACACGCACCAAAGCGATGTGTGAGTACCACACGTCCTTACTTCTATAATCCAGTCTCCATAAAGAGCATGTAGTCGTGCAGATCACTTAGACACCTCTCTCTGTCTCTGTCTCTGCTCTCAGCTGGTCGTTCGGGGTGCTGCTTTGGGAGATCTTCACCCTGGGAGGTTCCCCGTATCCTGGTGTGCCTGTGGAGGAGCTGTTCAAGCTGCTGAAGGAAGGACATCGTATGGACAAGCCCTCGACGTGCACTCATGAGCTGTAAGGAAACACCGAACACCTGAAATCAAATGTGTTTTCATGTCCCACAGACACACAAAGGTGCGATCTGGAAACTTCATGATCAAAACAACCCCGATACATCATCTGGGTTTGTTGTGATCACCGTTTCAAAGTCATCAGCGTTTCATTGGATTAACACCGCTGCAAACTTGATCCAGAGTGACTCAAACTGTTTGTCCCACTTTGATGCCGATATTCTGGCTCATTAACTGAATAAAAGTGAAGTCTGTGGTTTCTGTTTAAATATTCCCCGGTGAGAATCAGAACCAGATGTTTCCTTCTGCAACAGCGCAGCCATTAGAGCGAAGTGTGTGCTGAGGCTGAAACCATTCGAGTGTTCAAATGACATTAACAGAAGAAAATATTAAAGGAACCAACTTCAAAGTAAAAGTCCTATAAATTTAAAAGTCTGAGACGATCTGCAGGGCTCTTATTGATTCTCAGTGTGCCTCATGTTTGGCTGGAACAGTTGGGAGTGATATTCACATCAATGATGTTGTTGTATTTCAGAAATATGTGTGCTAAGCAACATGTGATTATGGTTTCAGCCGATGATTGTGTGGCAGCCATTAACAGGGAAACTCAGATGTTGAGGGAGGTCTAATTTTTAAAAATGCATTAAGTGATGCTATAAATTTTAGGGTTTATATTTAAGAGCCTATAATACTTTTCCCAAACTGTTTCTGATTTGATCTGCTGTCGCTGTAGTGACTGAGGGAATCTGGGCAGACATTTACTGCAACGTGAAGAAGGCGCAAAATTGACTTTTCCACCGCCTCCCTAAAACCGTCTCAAAGATATTTTTATGCTTAAGTTTGTTAACAGACTGGGTTGAAAACTAAATGCATGAAAGGTAATACACTTATCTATTCTCATTGCGCATCCTGCTCATACACCATCTACCAACACTGACCAGGCTGCCTGCAGAGTAGGGCCGGGCGATATGTCCTCAAATCAATATCACGATATATTGATCAGTTCACCTTGATAAATGGACGATAACTACTCCACAAGCTGCTCACCCCCTCCCACATTACCTTTGTCTACTTCAGCCGCTACAACTTTTGAACCGTCCTCCATCTCCTCACCTGTCTTTCCCTCTTTGTTACGGACTGGATGGGGTGGAGTCACGTCCAGATCAGCCTGGTTAATCAATCTGTCTGATTTTTAAAGGCATATTTTATCCGTGTTTCCTGCAGGTACATGATGATGAGGGACTGCTGGCACGCTGTCCCCTCTCAAAGACCAACATTCAAACAGCTGGTGGAGGACTTGGATCGCTCCCTGGCCATGACATCCAACCAGGTCAGTCCTCATCTTGTCACACACGTAGAAGCACTGACTGTATGAAAAATTATGTCCACTGTCATCTCTTCAGGGAACATCAATCCTGCCTCTCCTGCACATGTTGACAAATATAAACACACTAAGCAAGTTTTCAAGCCAGGCAGTAGATGAGTTACTGCAGAATCAGGCTGGGTTTTCACTCACTGACAGAGTTTGGCTGTTAGTGCAGAGACGTTTAATTTTACATCCAAAAATCCAGACAACACAAACATGACAGAGAGGTGAAGTTCAGTGACTCACTGGGCCGTGATGATGACCAAGACTCAGGCTCGGGTCCAACTTATGACTGGACTTGTACTCGATCATTGATGACTCAGATTTGGATGCAGACTTGAACGATGAAGTTGTTTCTGCTGATGCAAAAAAAAGGATTTAAGAGCTTTTCATTAATCAGGTCTGCAACAATAAAACTCCACCAGTCTTAGGTTTGTGTACTTTGGTAGTAATCCTTCAATGACATAATCGTGAGTCTGAGTAAGTCTGGATTTCATTTCGCAGTCACATGACGACTTCACTCCCATTAGATTTATAATTTGATTTATTTTTAGTTTGATTAACTACATACACTCATTCGAATACCATCTTGTTCAGTCATACTTACTCTTGCCGAGATACCAAAGAGGTGATTCGAGTAATGTGGACCGGACTTTGACTCAGGCTCAGAAAATGGTGACTCAGTCTAGATTCTTTAGTTGTAACTCAAACTGAAACTCTCTGGACTTGGACTGGAGGTTTGGTGACTAAACAAGAATGCCACAGCCACCTGTCAGTCAAACCATGTCATAAAACTTTAATGTTCTACATCATTTGAAATGAATAATTAGCTTTTTTTTAACATGAGGTTTCTTCCTCTCCATTTGTCGCCTCCAGGAGTATTTGGAGCTCTCCGTGCCTCTGGACCAATACTCGCCCAGCTACCCCGACACCCGCAGCTCCACCTGCTCTTCTGGCGAGGACTCGGTCTTTTCCCATGACGCCGGAGCCGAGGAGCCGTGCCTGCCAAAGTTTCCTCCTCACTCCAACGGGGCGGCCATTAAGAAACGCTGATACCTCATCTCCATGCAGACAAACATTGACACTTCCTCTGCTCCCTGCCTCACGGGGTCGGACTCTTCCCCACATTCCCAGAGATGAAGCTAAAAAATACTGGTGCTCTGTGAGAAAGGAACTTAGAGGACACCGTGGAGAACTCGTTGGACCACATGGACTGGAAAAAGCAGCGGATTCCAGGTTCTCATTGGTGATGGTGTTTTTATGGGGCACTTTGCATTAACAGGAGTGGTGGTTTGTCACGGTGTCAGGAAAAAAAACTCCCACTCTTCTCTCCACTTTGGGCATTCCTGGAGTCAGGAGAATCTAAAAGGACTGACTTTGACTGTGTCAGGTTTATGTTTGTTTGGTTTCCTCCCTCTGCGGTTGTTGTTTCAGTAGTGACGGACAGTGTTCTGCTTTTCAGACCAAATCCAGAGAAAAAATATCACCGATGGACACGCAGCATCATGCTCCACCTCCACATTCACTCTCCTCTTGTAAATACAGTTAGAAAATTATAAATATGAATATATATTTACATTGTACTCTTATTTTTATTACCATAATTGATTTATTTTCTTTTGTACAAGGACGCTTTTGTTTGATCTATTTTTAATATAGTCTGTAGGGGCAGTTGTTACACAAAAATGTCTTAAAAACCGCTGAGGATGAAATGGCCAGTTTGTTTTTGCTTCCCCTAATTTTACTGTGTAATCATGGATGGAAAATATATATTGGGTTTTCTATTTTTTAACTGTAAGTGCTTTTCATGACACAACCTGAAGAAATGGATTTATAAAAATAAGATGAGTGTGTGTGTGTGTGAGAGCGGCTGACTGACTGTGTGTGTGCGTGTGTGTGTGGAAAATCTTTATCTTGTCTCATTCAGAATTTCAGATTGATCTAAAAAATGGTCACAACTGTAAATATTCCAGGTTGTACGCCATGCTCGTTAACATCCGGAGTAATTGTCTTCAGTCAACGTCGTGCACTTCCACCGTGCATGCCTCCCATGTGATGAACTTTATCTTCTACTGTAAATGCTTTAACAGGAGTTACATTTGCTGCCATATAACTTCTGATGAAGGGTTGCAGAACACGTATGTCATCGTAAAAAGGATTACATTAAATAAAATGCTATTGAAAAACAAACCGCTGCAGCTCTCAGAGTTTGAACTCAACTCTATAAACGGCTCTATAAATATCCAGATTTTCATGCTGCTGATGTAAATTATGATTACAGAGATGGAGCGATGGCTACTTCAATCCCTGCCCAGTTAAACACAGGTTGCTGGGGTCTGATTAGATATGATAATGTGCTGCTGACATCAGAAGATATGTTGGCGGGCGCAGAGAGCCACCGCTTGCAGTAAACATGTGATTTATGGTCCTGGGAATGGCTTGGCAAGTGCTGGTGCTACACTTACATCCATCAGCCGCACCAACCTTGGTGCCCGCGTCCGACTCTGGCTTCCTGCCACTGGCTGATGTGTCACCTGGATTGCAGTCTCCACGCAACAGGACTTAAACAAGCCCAAGCAGTGCGACTGGCTCTCACGCTTTTTTTTTTTAACAGCAGGCTTTTACAGCTCAGGTCAATGCAGTTAGCCTCCTGAGTTTATATGTTAATAAAGGAAAAAAAGATCCCCTTACAGCTTTGTGAACACATGAACACAAACAGCATGTCACAGCCTGGAAGAACACAAGACTCCAGATCCACAGACACACACACCTCCAGGATGAAGACAAACAAACAAATGAGGTTATTGTTTTGGGAGGAATATCATCCACTCCTGGAAACAGGTAGCAATAAAGAAAGTATCATCTGTGCCGTGGTTGAGGTGATGATGAAGAGATTTATTTAAGGCTAGAAAGGACAGGAGAGGCCTCGCTTTATAACCTGCTAATGGTGCAGATTGAGGAGCAGGGGTGCTATTAGGTGGAGGGTGTTATCACTTCTGACAGATGGCGCAGTGTGAGTTTAACAGAGCAAAGTTCAGCAGGTAGTGTCCGGTATGGCAGCTTCCTCAGCATGTCTTTGTTTTGCTGTGATTGTTCACGGTTCAAATTAGAGAGTGAGTCATCCCCTCATTATTGCTGTTTAATCACACAGATGAATGAGAAATTTACTGCTGGGTCTTCTCATCCCCTCAGTAAACATAATTCATGTGGTGATTTGAAAAAAAAAAAAAATTGGTGGAAAGTATGCTGCGGGTGAAGGAAAATCTGTTTAATGATTCTAAACATACTGCAGGCTGTAACAGTTTTAACTGCTTACAGATTATTTGATTCATGTATTGTTTGAATTTGTTTTTTACTTGAATTACCTTTCATGTAAAAGGAATTTAACCATTTTAAGAAGAAGGTTTATTAAGTACACAAAGGGTTTTTCCTTAAAACTACTTTCCAAGAGTCCACAAGAAATCCTACCAAAATAAGACAAAATGACTGTAAATTTAAAATATTAAAAATAATGCAAGCAGGAAATGACACAGGGCAAAGTTATGACACCTTATTTGGAGTAATAGTCTCCCTTATTTTCAATTTTGACCGACAAAACTGAAAAAAGTAAATAAAAACTTCTCCTGCTAGTGTGTCTGTAACCGTTGCCCGCCATATTTCCACGGCGGCCATCTTTACGCTGCGTCATGCTCCGGTTCGGAAATGTGATAGCATTATTTAAGGTCGTAAATCATTAAAATCTCGATTATTTTGCAAATCGCGGTCATTTTACCGCTTCCAGATTGATAAGCAACCACAAACACCACAGACAGATATAATCTGGAGAAGTCGGGTCAAACTTAAAGCTAAAAAAGACACATTTGATCGTTAGCTAACACAGCTAATGTTAGCATTTAGCCGTTTTACTATATCAGACATGACACGAAATTAGAAGTTAGCTCAAGAATAATGGCCGGTCTCAACAGCACTTTGTATATTTTGCAAGTGTTCGCACTTTTCTTACTAACTTCACTCCTTACTAAACTAAACAGTCAGCTCCTGTATCCAAAAGTAATCTGGGAGGCTGAGGCTTTCATCAGGCATCTCTGCTCAGGATTCACGCCCCAGGTAAGGTCTAAGAGTCAGACACTCTCTCTTCCTTAAAACTGAGTTTATAACTTTCCTTTTTGATGAAGTTAATAGTCTGGGCTGGCTCAGGCTTGCCTTAGACCACCTCTGAGTTTGCTGCTGTAGGTTTAGAGTAAATTATACACTGGATGCCTCTTGTCTTTTCTAGTGCATCAACATTTATTTTCCATGAAGTGGATAAACAGATTTTTGTCTCTGTTCTCACTGTTTCTGTGGATATTTTACCACCACAGTGGATTTGCTTAACTTTCATCGCTGCTGCTGTTCCTGATATTTCCATTCATCTGTTGTCCTCATGTTGCTGTTATTCATTTTATCTCTACTTTTAGATTAATGAGTTACTTGTAGTTAAAGTAGATGAAGCATTTGTTATTTTTGCTGCTGTCTGTCTGTCCAAACATGTGCAAACAACTGTCCATCATGAGTCTGGTTTAGCTGGAGGTTTACAGGAAGTTTTTCCGATTTGTTGTCCAAATAACTACTCAAGATCGAGTTTTTGTGGGGTCTGTTAATGTTATAAAAAGTATGTTCTTGACACTTCCCTTTTCAGAGTGATACTGAACAGCTTAGATAAGCTTATATATAAAGTTTAAATAGGATTTATTTTACCAGCAAAGTTGCTGTTTCCAGAGCAGACTATTGCACCTCTGAATATTTTGTCTTATTTCTATTGAAAACTAACTAGGAAGCTTATTTTAAGTCACATATAAGAAAAGCAATTGAAGTTATATTTTTGGCGTGTTACATCTTAATATACGCATTTTTAATGGCTTTTCGGGCTTAAATTAAACCTAATAAGACAGTTTTTACGAGAAATAAAGAACACTCACTAAGATTTTGCAGTGTGGTTCCATTTTGAAGCTAAATGCATTTTATTATCTTGAAGATGTGAGTTTCTGAAGACACATCATCTGCAGTTCATCTTCTCTCAGAGTCAGTAAACTGATCAAGATGAGACCCTTGCGTGTCTCCTTGGTGGCCTCTTAGATGAATTGCTTTGTGTTCTTGTTTACCAGGGATTGTTTGATTTATTCCAGTTTAGGATTATCATCTCCAGGTCTGGAGAAAAGCCCCGAGCTTCACCAACATCAATCTCCACCCTGTGTGTTTCCTGTCAGCGATGATGGACGACCTGCCCTTCAACTCTCTGACACCCTGAGAGGAGACACGTCGTCAATCAGGGATCATTTCTCAGGCGCAGTTAGGTGAGGGGGGTCCTGGGAGGGTGATGGTGCTGGTAAAGATGTGTGTGAGTGAGTGAGTGAGTGTGTGTGTGTGTGTGTGTGTGTGTGTGTGTGTGTGTGTGTGTGTGTGTGTTTGTTTCTGCTTATTTCAGTCTCCAGAAACAAACAAGCAGTGGTGACATCAGCCTATTTTCATGCAACCCCGTCTCCTTACAAATGAACTGATAATTTATGATATGAAGGGCGGAGAGTTGAGTGCAGAGTGGCTGTCAATGCACACGAGGGGACAGAGGGGAGCGTTACAGCAGAGCAATACTGGAAGTCATGAATCTCATTCTGGCCAGCGTCCATCTGCAAGGTGAAGGAGACATGTCTCTTGTCCTGGCGTTGCTCCCTACAGTCCAGTACGTAAAAATCAGACGGTTCAGCATTGCATGTGTGCGGCTAACCGCAGCAGACAGGCTTAACTGTGCGGCACGTAAGATTTCAAAACAGATGAGGAATGTTAATTTTCTGTTGTTTTCTGGTGGTGACGCTTATCACACCCCTCGTAACAATAGCTCAGATGATGAACAGCTGTTTTGTTCGAAATGTGGCCACTGTGGTTCAGGGTGTAGTCCACTCTGGGGGATGTGTTTAGCAGCAAAGCAAATCTGCAGTTATTCTAATGCTTATTTGTGAATATTTGGTGTTAAGCCTTCATGCAGGAGAGATGACAGGGGAAAGCAGCTGATGTGCTCT